AGACAATAAACTTGACAGGAAGACCTGTGTTTAAACCCTAGCTTCACCTTTCACTTCCTCAGTGGCCTTGGGAAAGTCCTTTCCTTTTCGGGGCATCAGTTCTCCATCTATAATAAAAAAAAGTGTAATATGCTAATTAGACCCTACAGTGGAAAGAGCTCTGGACGTCCTTCTGAACAAAGCCACGGCAGTGGGGGCTGAGGCAGAGGAGGTTAGGGTTGATCAGGCAGGCAGGAAGGTGAGCGGTTAGGAGCCAGCGGTCCTGGATTGTGAGAAGAATGTCCAATGGGATCAGGCCTAAACCAGCAGTTGGACATCCCCCGAGGGGTCCTGGATTGCGAGAGGGTGCAGGCTGGGCTGAGGGATTTCCCCCCATCTCCCATGCACAAATTTCATGCACTGGCCTCTAGTCTTTAAAATAGAGTAGACTAGGAAATCTCTAAGGTTACTTCTGGCTTTATTGTTTCATGATTTTACTCTTATTTCACTAAGAACTATGGTCTCTTGTATTGGTTGTGAATCCCAGGAGTGAATGGGCAAACAAGCAGGCAGTGGAGATGAGAAGAATAAGTGTATGGCCATGAATTGTCTATTATGTCTATTTTGGGGCCAGAGGTCTTCCTTAAGCATTAGCAGCCATTGGGTAACACCTGTAATGGTTAACCCAAGGTCACCCTGTGCATCCTCCAGCCAAAATAGGATGCCCATCTCATGCCTCTGTATCCTCAGTAGAGTACAGAGGGAGTGTTACTTTGGTGCCACAGAATTGACATTAGCTTCCAGTTAGTCCATTACACGCAGAGAAGGGAGCATGAGAACAAGCTTTGGCTAGGCTTGACGTACCCTTGGTAAATTCTCATTAAAGCCAAGAGAGAACATTCCAGAGATGTTGAAACTCATGTGCCCAAAATGACACAATTCCACCAAACTTCCAGGGCCAATTGAATAGGCTATCCATTAGCATTTCTTGCATTTACTTTCTTTTCTCTTTTTAATATATTTTTATTTTAGAGAGGAAGGGAGAGGGAGGGAGAGATAGAAACATCGGTGATGAGAGAGAATCATCAATTGGCTGCCTCCTGCATGCCCCACACTGGGGAGTGAGCCTGCAACCCGGCATGTGCACCAACGGTTCATGGGCCGATGATTAACCACTGAGTCATGCCGGCCAGGCAACTTTCTTTTCTTTTTAAGTGTTGTTAAAAGAGAAACAAGTTTCTTAGTTGGCTATGGGTATGAATGAACTGATGTGCTGGGCAGGGAACAGCATTAACAGAATTAGAGAACAGAATATGATAAAGTAGGAGTGAGAAAACCTGTGGACATGTTCCTTTGACTCTCTGGACCTCATTTTTTCCATCTGAAAAATACAAGGGTTGAACTAAAATATTTATAGTACATGGTGATTGTAAGCCACCCAGTCTAGTACATCAGGATATTATGACAGGCATCAACAAACTCCAACCCATGGCTGCTGTTTTTGTAAGCCTGCAAGCACCAGTTAAGCAGACTGGCACTGTGCACCTTGGGAACCAAGCCTGGTATCCTCCTTTGTTACTTTGTTCTCCCTCTGTTCCTAATGCCTGTCTTCCATGGCAGTGTCTGTGTGTTGCTGTTGCCCAGGGCCCATGCTAGTCGTCACGTACACTTTGGGGTTGTGCTGCTGGCGACGGCTGGTCACTGGGTAGCAGAATTTCACTCAACTTAAAAAAAGAAGGAAATCCTGCCATTTGCAACAACATGGATGAATCTAAAGGACATTATGCTAAGTGAAATACACCAGGCCCAGAAAAACAAATGCTGCATAAGTTCACTAACATATGGAATCCAAAATAGCCAAACTCATGGAATGGTGGTTGCCAAGGCCTAACAGAGAGAGGAAATGGAGAAATGTTGGTCTAAGGGTACAAAGTTTCAGTTAGGCAAGATAAATTCTGGAAATCTAGTGTACAACAATGTGACTATAGTTAACAGTACTGTATTATATACTAGTACTTGAAATTTGCTGATCTTTTCTGTTATTACCAGAAAAAAGAAAATGGCAATTATGTGAGGTGATAGATATGTTAATTGGCTTAATAATCCTGATTATTTTGCAATATATATCTAATCACCAAGGCATACACCTTAAATAAATTTTAATTGTTAATAAAAATTTGGAGGGGTGGGGAATGGGAGGGACTGGGGCGAGGTCAATGGGGGGAGACATATGCAATACTTTAAACAATAAAGAATTTAAATTAAAAATTAATAAATAAAATAAAAATGTTTATTTCCTCAATAAAGCTAGAGAAAAATGAAAGAAAATTTGCTGGAGGCAGTATGCATCGGGGTAATGCATGTAAACTGTGGGCTCAGGCAGAACAGCATTCTGCATTATTTATGAAGCCTTAGACCAGTCATTGCAATTCTCCGAGCCTCCATTTACTGCACTATAGAATAGAGATGATGATAATAACTGCCATTGGAGTGTTTGTGAAAACTGAATGAGATAATATATGTAAAGTTTTGACACAGTGTCCTGCACTCAATAAGAGCTCAGAAAATATTCAGTTCCATTTCTTCTCAATCACTAACTCAAATGTCAGACAGTGTTGTGATGATACATCACTAATACAGCAAGAAAATCATAGAACTGCTGGAAAGTAACATGGGCTCATCTCTGCTGGGTCAGTTCCAAGTGATCACTTTACATAGCTAAACTTTAGTTTATGCATTATAAAAACGTAAATGACACCTAGGTTTGTTTATTAATATCATTCCATCATTAATCAATACCTATTGAACATCCACCATACAGTAGTTTCCCCTTATCCATGGAGAATACATTCCAAGACCCCCAGTGAATGCCTGAAACCACAGATAATACTGAACCCTATAGATACAGTACTGTTTTTTCCCTACATTTGCACTTAAAAGTAAGCACTTTACAGCTTCTCTTTAGCATATCTGAACTGCCAGGATCACTACTCTTCCACTTTTGGGGTCATTATTAAGTAAAACAAGGGTGACTTGAACACAAGCACTGCAATACCACAACTGCGATGTCAGTTGATCTGATAACAAAGTCTAAGTGACTAATGGGCTGGTAGTGTACTAGTATACAGTTTGGGTATGATGGATAAAGGGATGATTCACTTCCTTTGTGAGATAGAATGGGGTGGAATGAGATTACATCGAGCCACTCAGAACAGCTCATGATTCAAAAATTATGAATTGTTTAATTCTAGAATTTCACATTTAATATGTTCCGACCAAGGTTGAATCACAGAAAGGGAACTGCGGATAAGGGGTCTACTATACAGACTTAATCCTAATGATAAGTACTTGAAACCTGTAAATGAATGAGTTTTGGAAGAGCTCACAGTTTAAGAAATTTCAAATTGTTAACAGAGAAATAGCACTAGATGTTAGACCAAGGTCCTTGAGTGTTGGTTAAGAATGAATTCAGGGCCAAGACTCAAGTATAAGCAAAAGTTTGTGAAAGAAGTGAGCCAGTAGGACTGTGTGGGTTCAGGAAACAATTACAGAGGCAAAAGAAGATACTTGGAGCATAGGAATAAGAAAGTAAAGATTAAGTGCCTTGAGGGAAGGATCAAGGAAGAAAGGTGCTCAAGAGAGAAAAAGCCACCCTAGCCGGTTTGGCTCAGTGGATAGAGCTTCGGTTCCTGGAAAGAGAGAGGGGGTGGGGGAAGAGGGAGAGAGCTGCTGAGTTATCTGTTTTAAGAGCTTTATCTGGAGGTTTCAGGGGAGGATTTCAATAGAATATTTATCAGCTTTCCAGGTGTGTCTCCTCAGGGTCCTGGTCTCCACTGATTGGTTGGTACTAGGGTAGAGGGTCTTAAGTCCTTGCAGCTGGTCTTGACATCACTCTGCCATGGTGTCACTCTGCCTGGCCTTGTTGCTTTTTCAGGCCTGGAGCTGAAACACAACTGAGGTCTATTTGTTACCTCTAGGGCTTAATGCTTAATGCTGCAAGGGCTTGTATGGGAGTCACATGAGGCTATTCTCCTGCCCCCTGTTCCTCTTCCAAAGGTGTCTACCACATGACTAGACATGCTAGGGGAGGAAAGGTCAGGGGAGGGTCAGAGCTGCATGACTAGCGATAAGGCAGTCAGGGGGTCAGAATCACACGATCAGTGACGTGCTAGGGTAAGAAAGGTTACCCTGGGGATGAGGTCCCCTTCCAGTTTTGCCCTTCTAGATAACTAGGGCTTTCTGCTGATACCTGGCCTATTGTTCCTACTCTGCTCATGTTTGTCTTAATTGCCTAGTGTATCATTATGAGATAAAGTCTGTGAAAGTAGGGATACAGGCCAGTGACGAGGCTATCAGAAGAAAGTGCTGGAGTGACTCTCAGCTTTCTAGTTCCCGTGGCACTCTATCCCTGAAACCTTCCATTCACCTTCTGTATGTGTTTGCCTGGAAGGTGAGGGCGGGAGAGGCAGCTGTAAAAAAAAACAAAAAGAGCTGGGATCGGTTTGGCTCAATGGATAGAGCGTCGGCTTGGGGACTGAAGGGCCCCGGTTCCATTCCGGTCAAGGGCATGTACCTTGGTTGCAGGCATATCCCCAGTAGGGGGTGTGCAAGAGGCAGCTGATCGATGACTCTCTCTCATCGATGTTTCTAACTATCTCTCTCCCTTCCTCTCTGTACAAAAATCAATAAAATATATTAAAAAAAAAAAAAAAAAGAGCAGCTGCCTTCCTCTCTGCAAGAAACAAAAGGAAGGCACTGAGCTTGTCTAGATTGGATCTGAGATTCTGTTCTTAACCGTAAACACGCTCTCTGAGAGGCTGAGGGGGGTGGGCCTGCGGTGGTAGAAACCAGGCAACCCCTGCTGCGCAGGCGCATTCAGACTCTCGCGACGCAAAGCCCCACTGGGTCGGAAACCTGACGTCACAGTCTACGTAGGAAGACGTGGGGAAGGCGGCGCGGCCTACGCCGGCTCTCGGGTCACGTGACGAGACAGGAGCGCCATCGGCTCCTCCCTCCTCAAGATGGCGTCCTTACTGCAGTCGGAGCGGGTCCTCTACCTCGTCCAGGGAGAAAAGAAGGTCCGGGCCCCTCTCTCGCAGCTTTACTTCTGCCGCTATTGCAGCGAGCTGCGGTCGCTGGAATGTGTGTCTCACGAGGTAACGCCGTCGTCCCAAGAAGAGGATGGGTCTGGAGAAGGGAGAATGGGGGAGGGGGGGAGGGAGAGGCTTTCATATTAGTCACCCCGACGGGGCGGGGAAGTCCCACCGGCTGGAGGCGGGTAACCATTTTCCTACCTTGCTGATTGGCCCGTCTTCCGTCGCTCATGTTTGCCCGAGCTTTAATGTGCTCCTAATCTGTCACTGGGAAAGAAGGAGCGGTCTTGGGTGGGGCCGAGCGGGTCGTCTGGTTCCAGGGCGCCCTCTGATTGGACGAACTTGGCTCCGGAGCCCTCGCTGTCTCCGGGGCGTTTGGTTCCCGGGTGGGTCCGGGGGAGAAAGGTGTGGACGTGCTTCGTTCGCGCCACTTGAGCGGTTAGACACTGTCTCTCCACGATTGATTTGCGTGGAGTGGATGCAGGCATTGTCATCCACGCCCCCCCCTCCCGTCCTGGAAGGTCTGCCTCTGCTTTGGCCGGAAGCTGGCCCCTCTGTCCTGGCCCAGGCTCAGGCCCAGGCTCAGGCCCGGGCCCAGGCCTGCTGCAGGGATGGGGGGCGATGGCCGGGAAGCGTGTGGAGTAGGGCATGCCCTGTAAGAAGCTGAGAGTTCTATAGCTTCCTCTGAGAGTAGGGGGCTGTCGTCTTTCACAACACATGGACGTTGGTGGTGGGGTTGTCCGAAGGTAAAAGATCCCACCCCGTAAAAAAATCACCCCAACGTGCAGCGCTTGACACATCTCTTTTGTTCAGTAATCTTTGGGGGTTAAAAGATAAGACGTAAATCCTGCCGTTAAGTAACAGTCTCATGAAGGAAGAGTTAATAGTAATAATAGATACAATTTACTTGTACTCTCTCTGTCATATGCTTTACATAATCTTATCTTTCTACAACCCAATGGAGTGGATACCTTTTAAAAAAAAAAAGTCATTTTACAGGTAAAGGAACAGACACATAATGTTAGCCCTAAATTACACTGGGAGGACCAAGATTTGAAAACGAGCATCCTGACTTAGAACTTCAGTAAAAATCCCTGGACTATTAAGAAATGCATATAAAAATTATCTTATCCCATATGCCATTTTACATATTATTAATAATATGTAAATTGTATTTTTCACAATATTAAGAATGGTTAGACTGAGCTGGTGTGGCTCAGTGGTTGACCTCAAACCCAGAGGCCACTGACTCCCAGTTCGATTCCCAGTCAGGGCACATGCCTGGGTTATGGGTTCGATCCCTAGTGTGCGGCATTCAGGACGCATCCAATCAATTATTCTCTCTCATCACTGATGTTTATATCTCTCTCTCCCTCTCTCTTCCTCTCTGAAATCAATAAAAATATATTAAAGAAGAATGGTCAGGGGAAGTATTTAAATAATAGAAGAAAAATGCCATATATGTGTAATATGGTATTGGTTTTTCATGTATTTAACATGGCATTGATTTCTCATGGGTTTCTTCTCCATTAACACTGTGGGGTGTGTGTGTGTGTTTGTGTGTGTGTGTACACACATGCCTGTGTACCTGTGTGTATCTCCTTGGCAGGTCCTTCCTCGTTTAGATACTTCCCTGTTCCAGCTCCACTCTTACAATTTATTGGATTAGATTCTCCTTTGGTGGTTACTAGGGAGCTCAGATTTCATGATTTCCAAAGATGTCTTTAGCTATGACACTCAGCCTGTAACTGCATCTTTTACAGACTGGTGTGTACCTGTGAGAGAGAGGCCATTAGGGACTGGGGAAAGATAATACCAACGAGCAGTCCAGAAAGTTCTAATGGAGAACCTGGGTTGGAGCTGCACATGAAGGGGCAAGCTTACTTTGGAAAGGGGGCACAAAGGAATGACTGACAGTTTGCCTTTTATGATGAGTCACTGCAAATATTTGTTAGCAAGACTATAGCTTATGTTCTGGGAGGTTGAGCAGCAATTGTATTAATCTTTTCAAAGATGGTCCTGTGTATAGCCGATGATGAAAAGAGAAGCCGGTTTCTATAGTATTTATGTTCAAGTGAATTTGTCTTTCCATCTGCAGGTGACTAAAGTTCTAGAATTGTCAAATAGAATCTGCCTACATTTAAGAAAATAATAATTCAGACCTTAAAATATTCAATGAATTTAATTTTTATATTGTGTTTTTGAGTTAAATACAATAGTTTAGCTTAATAGTTTAATTTGTTGTTTAAATATCTCTAATTGATTGGCTGTAGCTGACTTTGTAAATGATAATTGATACTGTTCTTCGGTGAACATGTATTGCTTCAGTAATGAGAAAACTTTTAAAGTCTCTCATAATTTAAGTGTGGTCAAATTACTATAATCCAATAAAGCTAAACCAGGTAGAAGACTGATCACATTATTACAAATTAGGTTATTTTAATTATTAATCTATGGTTTATGATATTATAGAGTTCTTCTTTTACATAGACAATTTTTAACACATCTAATTCATAAACCCTGATGAAAGGGCACAGAAGAGATCAGAAAGGAAAAATAGAAAACCTACAAAATCTGGATGGTTTGAAAAAACAAACAGGTGATTGAGGAATAAATCCTAAGCTGAAAACAATTTAGGTTCTCTGCCAGATGAGTGGTTTCTCACCTTCTGCTTCTGTATAATATACTTCACATTTGGCAGAGACAAGCTAAACTGAGTTTCCTTTCCTCTGATTTTTTTCATTTCTTGTTTCTTTCTAGGTGGACTCTCATTATTGCCCCAGTTGCTTAGAAAATATGCCATCAGCTGAAGCTAAACTAAAAAAGAACAGGTAAGACCAGGATTCATTTTTTGTTTCCTCAATTATTTTTGTAATAGCTAGTAAGAAAACACATGGAACTATTTTTTAACTAGCTCTTTTCATTTTTTTGCATCACTTCTGCCAAAGATAAACTATCCTTTAAATAAACTTTCCATTTTAGAACAATTTTAGACTTAAGAATTATTGTGGAGATGATAGAGAATCGTCTTTCCATCTTACCCAGTATCCCCTACTGTTAACATCTTACATTAGAATGGTGTATTTGTCTCAATTAGTGAACAATACTGGTACATTATTGTTAAATAAACTCCACATCTGAATAATTAGTTTTTTGTTTTTGTTTTTTTTATAATCTCCTTTTCTGTTCCAGGATCCTATTCAGGATATCCATGTTATATTTAATAGTTATGTCTCCTTAGGTTTTCATTGTTGTGGCATCCTCTTAGACTTTCCTTGGTTTTGATGACCTTCAAAGTTTTGAATAGTGGTCAGATATATTGTAGAATGCCCTCAGTTGGAATGTGCCTGTTTTCTCATCAGCTAGAATGTATTTTTGGGGAGGAGGATCACTGAAGTAAAGTGTATCTTTCAGCATATCAAGGAAACATACTTTCAATATGTTGATGTTAACCTTGATTACCTGGCTTTATCTAGTGCTTGTCAGGTTTCTCCATGTAAGGTTATCCTCTCTTCCCTCCTCCCCCTTCCTTTTCCATGCTGTATTCTTTAGAAGGAAAACTATCACAGCCCACACTTAAATAGTAGGAAATTATGCTCCCCCTCTGTGAGGGTTGTCTACATAAATTATTTGGAATTCTTTTGCATGAAATACATTTCTCTTCTTCCCCACTTATTTAGTTAATCATTTACTTAAAGAAGAACAGGCTCCTGGATATTTATTTTATACCTTAGGTTATAATCCAGTACTACTTTTTTTGCTCAAATTTTTTACCTTTGGCTATTGGTAACTAGACTCCTTTGACTTAACCCCAGTCATTGTTTGTTCATTCATTAGAGCACTTTATTACTTTCTGGTACTACAAAATACTCTAGGCTCATCCTGTGTATTTTTGCCTCCTAGAATTAGCCATTTCTCCAAGGAACCCTGGTCCTTTTTTATTGAAAAATTATATTAAAAACCAAGATCTGGCCTGGCTAGTGTGGCTCAGCAGTTGAGCATTGACCCAGAAACAAAGAGGTCACCAGTTCCATTCCCAGTTAGGGCACATGCCCAAGTTGTGGGCTCAATCCCTAGTATTGGGTGTGCAAGAGGCAGCCAATCTATGATATTTCTCTCTTATTCATTGATGTTTCTATCTATCCCTCTCCCTTTCTCTCTCTAAAAATTAGTAAAACATATTTAAAAAAAACAAAAACCAAGATCTGGATAGTAGGTATGCTTATTGCTCCTAGGAGCCATTTGGTTTTGTGCTTGATGTGAAAGTTCTTTGTCACCACTCACATGCTTCCATGGGTGTAAACCACTATTATTTGTCTTTCCTGTCTCTGAGAAATACCTTCTGAGAAGCCAGGCAGTTTTGTTTGCTGTCCACACATTAATTTTAACATTTAATCCTCAAAATAACCCCTGTGAGGTGGATACTATTATCTTTATTTGAGGATATTGTCCAGATGGCAAAATATCACAGCTGATTGGAGTTATGACATGGAACTTCAGACCAAATCTAGGACTGATGGTAAAATCTTGGTAATCTCTGGGTGTGGAAAACATAAAAGCAGCAAGGTACAGGGGCCCCTGAAGGGGAAATGTTGGCTGAGCACTAGGAGAATAGTGCCAGGAAGCCTGAAAATGCAGCACTTCTGAAGCTTTCCAGTTTGATAGCTTTGTTTGGTATCTGTGTCAGCTCTCTGGCACAGCAAATAAGAAGTTATTTTTCAAACCAATTTCCCGATTGCTGTATTGTTGCCTCTCAGTTTTCCATTGTGCAGCTGGTCTGTTCTCTCTAAAGGCATAAGCTCTGACATGTCTGTGTTCCTCAGAACTCTTTGTGGTCTGTACAAGCATGAAATAAGTCTGGAAATACTTAACCTGAGACTGTTAACACTGATTCTCTCTGTAGAGTAGGATTGCGTCAGGCTCTAATTCTTCAGGAACTTTTGTGATGATTCCTTTTTATTTTTCTATTATTTATTTATTTATTTAACTTTATTTTTTTTAATAATGAACATAATAATACTTTTGAAATTTTAAACAAAGTTTGTAAGAGTCTCAGGAGTACTTGATTATTTCTTTTTGCGTGAGAGACAATCCTCCCTTACAGTTCTCTTGAATTCCTAACACCCGGAACAATGTCTGATGTTGGTAGGTGCGTGGTAACATTTGTGGAGTGAGTGAATTGTATTTTTTGTATGATAGATGTGCCAACTGCTTTGACTGTCCCGGCTGCATGCATACCCTCTCCACCCGGGCCACAAGCATCTCCACACAGCTTCCAGATGACCCAGCCAAGACCACCATGAAGAAAGCCTATTACCTGGCTTGTGGATTTTGTCGCTGGACATCTAGAGATGTGGGCATGGCGGACAAATCTGTGGGTGAGTGAGGTAGACTTCCACATGAGATTTTGTGAAATTGGCAGCGCTGTAATTGCCCACAGACTATGTTAAGTAGTTTTGTTTGTTTTTTTGCTGTTGTTCATTCTCACCCGAGGATAATTTTTTTCCATTGATATTTTTAGAGAGAGAAAGGCGGAGGGGAAAGAGGGAAACATCAATGTGAGAGAGACACATTGATTGGTTGCTTCCTGCATGTGCCCTTATCAGGGCACAGGGATCAAACCTGCAACCCAGAGATGTGCCCTTGACTGGGAATTGAACCTGAGACCTTTAGGTTCACAGACAGACACTAACAACTGAGCAAACCTGCCAGGGCTATTTAGTTTTCTTAGAGTTTGTCAAATAGCTTTTATAAATCTAATACTTTCTTAGAGTCAAAATATTGATGCTCTTTATTATAAATAAATGCTCCTGATGACAAAACACACCATAAGCAAAATTAAAAATAAAAGTGACAAATTAAGAAAAATATTTGGATCATATACAAGAGACTAAAGATAACCAAAAATGAGGAATACTTACAAATAAATAAGAAAGAGACTCAATAGAAAAGTAGGCAACAGATATGAACAGCAGGTCTCACAGTGGAAATAAAAATGATCAGTAACCAAAATGTGCATACTGAAGGGGCCACAGTAGGATTAAAATGATAGGTCTTTGCTTTACACTCTATTTTTTTCAATCCTCACCCAAGGACATGCTCATTTATTTTTAGAGAGAGGAAGAGAGAGTATGAGAGAGCCTCTCATACATGCCCCAACTGGGGACCAAACCCACAACCTAGGTATGTGCCCTGACCAGGAATCCAACCATGACCTCCATTTCATTGGTGGGGCAGACTCTTAACCTTTTTTGAAGTCATAACTCATATTCCAGTCTTTCATGTTTCCTTTCTCTAAAATTTTACAGACCTTTCTTTTTATCTGTACCCTTTCTTTGGCTATCATTAAATGCCTTGTACTGTTATTATTGTTTATATGTGAATTTTTCAAGTGTTTTCAACTCTAATATGAGTTCTCTGGGAACAAAGACCTGTATTGAATGTATGAATTCTTCATTTAGTTTTCATTATCTAGTTAGTTGGATTTTTGTTTTCACAACTGTTGAGGCAATATATTTTTTAAAAGTCAGTAAATATATAGAAAGATATGTTCAACTTCACAAGTAGTCAGGGAAATCTAAATTAAAATTTCATTGATTTGATAAAATATTTTATATCTGGTAATAATCAGGTGTTAGCAAGAATGTAGGAAAATAGTTCTTTCATACACAACCACCTTGAAAGCAGTTTAACAACATCTATTAAAGTTTTACTTTTTTATTGTTTTTAGAGAGAGAGGACAAGAGAGGATAGAGAAAACATCAGTGAGAGAGCGATAGGCTACCTCCTACATGTCCCCTACTGGCGATCGAGCCTGCAACCTGTGCATGTGCCCTGAATGGGAATTAAGAATCAAACCGCGACCTCTTGGTTCATGGGTCCACGCTTAACCAATGAGCCACACCAGCCGGGCTACAATTTTAAATGGCTTTTTTTTCTACTGCCCAGCAATTCCATGTCCCAAGTTTCTATATTGGAGCATTCAAACATGTGCTCAATGATACATGTATGTCTATGTATACATGTGTATACACATATACACACACGTTTATCAGTGAAACAAAAATTATGTGTATATGGACTTAAAACTACCTACCTACAGCATTCATTGATTACCTGTCCATCATTTGAGCATTTCATAGTGGAGCTTGCAATTATCTATATTAGGAAACTTGCTTTATTTTTACATTTCCTATACTTCCTGGTTAACATCAGAAAGTTGTTTAGACAGTTCAAAATCTTGAGTTGCTATTTAATTTTTATATAAACAGTAGCATTTCTAACTCTCCATTGTCTCTTATTTCTCTGAAATTTCACTTTAATTACCTGAAAACTTTTTAGACTTGTAAAAAATTCCCAATTTTGAATTTTCATAAAAGATTTTCTCTTACTAACATACGAAGAAGCTCATAACAAATTCATTATGTGATTTGTGATAATTAAAATGAAGTTGGACAATTTCTACACAATTTGGAAGTAAATATGGGTGACATTTCTTTAGATTCAATTCTGTAGTTAAAAATTTAATCTTTGAATCTGTTTACTTTGCCCCTTGGTTGAGAATGCTTGAGCTCTTATCTTTTTTTACATTGTACATTAAGTTGATAAAATATTCTACAAAAAGAAAAATGTTAACTAAAAAAGTATATCTTATTTTCTTAAAAATGCTCAGAGGGTAGATATTTCCTGAAATGTGATTTATATTAGAACTAGAGGCCTAACGCACGAAATTTGTGCAAGGGGTTCAGCCCTCGCAGCCCGGCTTCACCCAGAAGGAAGGACATCCAAAAAGGTCATTCAGCTGCCTGGTCTAATTAGCATATTATGCTTTTATTATTATAGACGATTTTATAGCATCTCATTAGACCTTGAGTAAATATTTGTGTATTCTAGGTGTACTAGTTAATAATGGCGGATTTTGTAACTAAAGAAAAACATGATAATTTCAAGAGAAACATCAAAAGTGCTATATTCAAAGTCATGTCCATAGCTAGCTACACATTTGCCCATCTTTCAGGTATTTGTGGATACCATCCCAAAAGAACTTTTCTTGTTTTGAGGCAAACCATTCAGAGACTCAATTTGCCGCCACTTCATACATTTTGAAGTGCTATTCAGAAAGTGCTTGTGCCATTGATCAGAACAAGTGGTAATCTGAAGGAGCAAGGTCTGGTGAATATGGTGGATGGGTTAATACTTCCCAGGCAAGATCTTTTAACATGTCTGTAACTGGTTTTGAAGTGTGGGATGGCACATCATCATGAAGCAAAATTACTTTGCTGTGTGATCTAGCACATTCTGGTCGTGTCACGATCAAAGCCTAGTTCAGATTGATTATTTGTTGTTGGTAGCGGTCAGCATTAACAGTTTCACCTGGTTTTAGAAGCTCATAATGCACCACACCTTCCTGATCTCACCAAACACAGAGCATTGTCTTCTTTCCGAAGCGATTTGGCCTTGCAGTTGATGTTGATGGTTGACCTGGATTAACCCATGATTTTGTGCATTTGGAATTCTCAAAATAAATTCACTTTTCATTGCCATCACAATTCGATGCAAAAAAGACTTCTTTCATGCCGTTGAAGCAACATTTTACTGATGACTTTTCAGTTTTCCATTTGTCTTTCATACAGTTGATATGGCACCTATTTTTCTTCCTTTAAAATCTTTCCCATTGCTTGTAAATGATTGGAAATTGTTTGCTGAGCAACATTTAATCTTTCTGCAGGTTGTTTTTGAGTTTGACATGTATCTTCATCCAATAATGCTTGTAATTATCAGTCTTCAAACTTTTTTGGTTGACTTGGACATTCTTTGTTTTGCACATCAAAATCATCACTTTTAAAACATTTAAACCAGTGTTTACAAGTATCTTGAGATGGAGCATGTTCACCATAAGCTTCCCAAAGTATATGATAACTCTCATCAGCTCTTTTTTTGGCACAAAATTCGACATTTTTAAGCATAAAAATATCTATGATGTTAACACCTTCAGCAAATTTGACATATGAAGTTTAGAAGCTTGCTGGCAATACAACAAAATAGCATACATATAAACATATATGTACCTCCATCTATTGAAAAAAAAATCCGCATTATTAACTGGTACACCTAGCATATGTTTTAATTTCAGTGTAGCAAGCAAGTTGTTTGAATTTGTTTGTGTTAAATGTTAAAAAACCCCACCTCAAAATGGTATAATATATGCCTCATTGAGTTAAAGTATTTTTCTGTGTTTGTATTCTGTTTCTTTTTAGCAAACTAAAGAAACAAAGTACACAAATTCAAGTTGATTTCTCAATTTGTTCCTCTGTAAGTGAATGTTTATTGTGAGCCATTAAGATTAGAGATTTTTTTTCAAAATTTAAAACCTGTGCTTGCTTCTGGAAATCTCTCTCTTCTAGGGTATCTTGACAGTGATAATTGAGTTCTTGGAGCTCTTAAAAGAGTAGAGATAATTTCATTTTTCCATGTTGTCATTGGTGTCTGAGGAGCTCTGAAATCACTTTAGTTGGAACTGTTTGGTTTCTAAGTAAGCTATTGTGTCAGTAATGTGCAGAGAAAAACTCATAATGACATTGCTATGTCTCCCAAATTGCTATTTAGAATAAATTACCAGTTCTAAAGAAGCAATTGGGTAGAACATTTAGATTTTTAAAAATATTACTTCTAAAACATTTCTTTTAAATAATTCTTTGTCGTGATTGCCTTAAGTAGGCAGCCTTTAAATTATGAGTAATGTACCAAAGGCTGTTATTGCTGCCATTTCTTGCAAGGGAGCATAGTGACACCTTCAGCAAGAGTCCTCTTTGTTTTGGAAAGAGTTATTTTAACTTATACAAATAATACACGTGCATATGTTTATCCCCCAGCTTAACAAAATAAATACAACCCAAACAGTTTAAACTGCTCTGTTGCCTCCCCCTGCCTCTTAGAGAGAGATAGTCAGCACCATCCTTAAGTCAGTGTGTTTTGGTGTCCAGGCCTGTCTTTATACTTCTCCATAGTATGGCCACTAGTGAATCATCATGTTTATCAGTGAGGAACAAATGGAAATCTATATGTATCCTGCCACGACTTCTTCTATCGATGTTATATTTATAATAGTAGTTGATTTCATGCATGGCTTACTACAGTTCACTTACTCAGTTTCCTCCTAATGGACATTTATGTTGTTGTAAATATTTTCCTTTGGACACAGTATTGTTAGAAAAATTCCTGTATATATTTCTTAAGTAATAAGAGTAAGGATTTCTCTGGATAACTAAAAGAAAACTGCTGGTTTTAAGTTATGTACGTCTTTAGCTCTCTAAAATGGTTTACCAGTTTTTCCTCCCCCTAGTAATATATAAAAGTAAACCAGCCCATGTTCTAGATCCTTGACAGTTCTTATTTGTGTTGTGTGTGTTTTTAATCCTCATCTGAAGATGCCATTGATTTTTTTTTTTTTTTTTTAGAGAGTGTGGAGGAGAGGGAGGAAGAAAGAGAGTGGGGGAAAGAGCGAGAGCGAGAGCGAGGGAGAGGGAGAGGGAGAAAGAGAGAGAGAGAGAGATAGTGGGAAAGAGGGAAACAGAAACATCCATGTGAGAGAGATACATCAATTGGTTGCCTCCTGCACATGCTCTGACTGGGGCCAGGTATCACCCAGGTATGGGCCCTTGACTGGGAATCAAACCCACGAGCCTTTGTTATGCAGGCTGACACGCTAACGCTGAGCAACACGGTTCAGGGCCCTTGACATGTCTTAGTATTGTTTTTCTGAAAGGATGGTTGTAAAATGGTATCTCATTATAGTTCACTTTTTTCACTTTTTTTATTAGCTTTATTGACATATAACTTACGTACAATGAACTCACCAATTTTAATTGTAGACTTCTATGATTTTTGACAAATGTGTATACTCATATAGCCACACCATAGTCATGTAACAGAAATTCCATCACCCAAAAAGTTTCCTCATGCTCCTTTGCTGTCAGTTTTTTGTCCTGACCTGGCTCCTGCCCCACTGATAGGCTTTCTTTCACTGTAATTTTGCCTATTCTGGAGGTTTATATAATTGAAGTCTTGTACATAGTCTTTGTGTGTGTCTTCTTTCATTTAGCATAATGCTTTTGAGATTCACCCATATTTTTGCTTTTTATTTATGTGTAATATATCTGTTGTATGGTTATACCAGTTTGTTTATTCAATTTCTAGTTGATGGACATTTGGATTTTTTCTAGTTTTTGTCTTATAAATAAAGCTGCTATGAACTTTTGCCTACAAGTCTTGGTGTGGATATGTTTTCATATTTCTTCCGTAAAAGGAGTGGAATTGCTGAATTGTAGGGTGAGTGTACATTTAATGACTAGAAACTGCCAAACTATTTTCCAGAGTGTCTATACCATGTGGATCCTCGCCAGCAATGTAAGGAGAATTCCAGTTCCTCAACAACCTTTCATATTGTCAGTCTTTTTCATTTTAGCCATTCCAGTGAGTGTGTAGCGATACCTCATTGTGGTTTTACTTTGCATTGTCTTAATGTGCTTTTTTGCCATCCATATGTTTTCTTTGGTGAAGTGATTGTACAAATCTTTTGCCTATTTTTCAGTTGAGTTTTTGTCTTTTTATTGAGTTGTAACAGTTATGTATTCTGGGTACAAGTCCTTTGTTCAATATATGTTTTGCAAATATTTTCTCTCAGTCTGTGGCCTGCCTTTTTATTTTCTTACCAGTATCTTGAAAAACACAAATTTCTAATTTTGATGAGGTCCTATTTATCAATTTATTTTTATAGTTTGTGCCTTTTGTATCCTAGTGAAGAAACTTAGGTTAACCCAAGGTCACTAAGATTTTCACTGATGTTTTCTTCTAGAAAGATTATAGTTTTAGCTCTTACATGTAAGTCTATTGTCTATTTCAGAGTAAGTTGTGTATGTGTTGTGAGGTAAAATAAAGGTTCATTTTTTTTTTAGATGGGTATCTAGTTGTTGAAGCACCATTTGTTGAAAGTATTCATATGGTTTTATTTTTAGCTTTCTGGAATAATCTTTTCTATTATGATTTGTGCAATTTGTTTCTTATATAAGAACTTATTTCCCAAACCAGGGTCATAAAATAGAAATTGCAGTGTTGCAGATAAGAGCAGGGTCTCTGGAGTCAGGCTTTGAATCCTCGCTTTACCACTTACTATCTTTGTGACTTGGGCAAGTTATAGAACTTTCTGAACCTCAATTTCCTCATTTGTAAAATAATGCTAATAATAAGAGTCCCCACTTCACTGTATTATTATGAGAATACAATGTGCCTGCTATACATATGTTAGCTGTGGTGGTAGTTATTATCACCATTATTATATTTAAAGAAAAAATTTTATTCTGAGCATTCTGGTCTATATCATTTCTAGGACTCGTTCTTGGAATTTCTGTGATTTTATGTTTTTTAAGTTTTATTTTGTAGCCTGCAGAATGACCTATTTTTGTGAAAATAAAATTATAAAATTCTTGTTTAATTTTCCTTTATTTTGCAGCTAGTGGTGGTTGGCAGGAACCTGAAAATCCTCACACTCAACGGGTAAGTAAAGGGTCATTAGAGAGAGGATGAAATAAGGGAAGATGGAGAGAAAGACTCAGGATCTTCCATTTTATCAGTGGATATGGCCTGGGCTTTGAAGCCCACAACACGTATTTTGGTGTCTATTACACATAGAAAGTGCTTCTCACTGTAAGACATTAACTCACAATGGCAGTTTTTCCCCATTGAGTTAATAGAACATTTTAGGTATAGTTTTAGTTCTTTCTGTACGTGAGTGCGCATTGCAAAGGAAACAATATGCTTTTGTTTTTCACATAGCCCACCAACTAAGTTGAATTTCCATTTTTCTCAAATACTCTTGGAAGTATCATCAACATATAGACATCTCAGTTCCTGGAAACACCACAAATTTAGAAGATGCCCTTTGACTCAGTAGTGGTTGTTTATAGAATCATGACTGGAGCATCCTTTAACAGTTCATGCAGGATTGATCTCTATAGTATACATTAGAGCTGATTTTTTTGCCCCTGGAACTAGAATGTGAAAAAGATAATGAAATACTATTGAAATGAAGTATGTACAAACTGCAGTTTAAACATAAGTTATAATTATTCACTTATGACATTAGCAGAAATTAGAAATACTAAAAATATCCTGGATGATCATGTGGGAAATTGGACCTTTTTACATATACTGTTGTAAGTTTAAATTAGTACAACTTTCTTGAGCTCTCAGCAGTATCTACTTTCTGGACTCTGACCTATAGAAGTATTTACACTTATGCACAAAAATATATATTCATTCATCATACATTTACTATATGTCAGGGACTGTCCTGAACAATAAGAATACATGATTTTTATCTTCATAGAGCTTAAGTCTAATGGGAAAATAATCCTCAGGTACAGGAAAAACTAAGTAATATGAAGAGAAATTGTGTTATGTGGACATTTAGGGGGAATTTCATCTAGATAGATCTATATCTGAGGATGTTTCTAAGATTTGAGGACAGCAGGCACAGAAGGGGAAAGAATTGAAAGCAGGGGAACAGCATATGCGAGGAGTTTACAAGTGGAAGAAGAAAAGCAGGTTGTAGACAAGGTGAGGGTTCTGAATGGAGCTTAGCATCGAGCGACTGGAGAGAAGTACTTGCTGTCAGACTGTGTAGACCGAGGTAAGGAGTCTGAAAAGTCTTTGAAGGTTTTAAGCTAAGACTTGCCAGGTTCAGGTTAGTGTTTCTAAAACATAATTGCTACTGAAGTGAGAGGATAGGTGTGAGTACCAGGAGACCGTTAGATCCTATCAGAGGAAATGGTTAAATATCTAATACATAATAAATACCTAATACAGATGTTAAATACATCTGTTTTGTGTAATTAAGATGCAGCTTTTAAAAAGAATGATGCAGATGTATTTCTACTGGATGGGAAGTTTATGATACTTTCAGTGGAAAAAATGTTATGTTTTTTTCTTACATGAAAAATAAAAAGACCTGTATTTATTTTATACATATAAAAGCTGTACGTCTATACACAAGTTTTTTTCTTTTTTTTTTATTTTTTATTTATTTATTTATTTATTTATTTATTTTTTTAGCAATCTTTATTGTTCATATTATTACAAAGGTTCCTCATTTCTTCCCCCCTCCACCAGGTTCCCACCCCACCCTCCATCCCCCCCCATCCCCCATTGTCCTCATCCATAGGTGCAGTTTATGTTCAGTCTCTTCTTCCCTCAATTTCCCCAATAGTAAATCCCTTTTCAGATAGTAAATCAGTTACTTAGCATTTTCTCATATCAATAATACCTCCACATGCCCAATGATACACTTCACACAAAAGACATTTCCCACTAGGTCAACCAGCCTCATCCAGGCCCCACCCAAGGCACTCACAGATCAACACCCCAATCCTAAACTAACTCAACACATCCAGATCTAAGCCTTCATCACTTGATTCAGCAGACACTCAAGTTCCCACGAAAGTTTCCATCCATGTCTGAGAAGCAGCCGTGGGGCAGGGGCAGGCAAGGAGCGAGCTGTTCTGGGCCTGGCTGCTCAGGGCCTGGCCTCTGTTGCTCTGGTTCATTCCACAACCAGCTGCTCCGGGTCTGGTCACTGCCGCTCCCAACCTAGTTGCTCTGGACTTGGCTGCTGCTGCTCCGGGCCTGGCCGCTCCCAGCCTGGCAGCCGCTGCTCCGGGCCTGGCTGCACCCGACCCGCCTGCTCCCTCGGGCCTGGCTGCTCCCAGCCTGGCAGCCGCTGCTCCGGGCCTGGCCGCACCCGACCCGCCTGCTCCCCCGGGCCTGGCCGCTCCCAGCCTGGCAGCCGCTGCTCCGGGCCTGGCCACACCCGACCCGCCTGCTCCCTCGGGCCTGGCCGCTCCCAGCCTGGCAGCCGCTGCTCCGGGCCTGGCCGCACCCGACCCGCCTGCTCCCCCGGGCCTGGCCGCTCCCAGCCTGGCAGCCGCTGCTCCAGGCCTGGCCACACCCGACCCGCCTGCTCCCCCGGGCCTGGCCGCTCCCAGCCTGGCAGCCGCTGCTCCAGGCCTGGCCGCACCAGCCCCGCCTGCTCCCCCGGGCCTGGCCGCTCCCAGCCTGGCAGCCGCTGCTCCGGGCCTGGCCGCACCCGACCCGGCTGCTCCCCCGGGCCTGGCCGCTCCCAGCCTGGCAGCCGCTGCTCCGGGCCTGGCCGCACCAGCCCCGCCTGCTCCCCCGGGCCTGGCCGCTCCCAGCCTGGCAGCCGCTGCTCCGGGCCTGGCCGCACCAGCCCCGCCCACAAGTTTTTTTCAATGTCTCACCTGTGCCTGTAAATGTGTAAGAAAGCTATCTAAACTCTTAATAATGGATACCTCTGGTGAGGGCAGTGTAGATTTGGGCATAAGAGATAAAAGAGAAGTTTCACGTATTTTTTTTTTTATACATTGTTTAATTTTTTACAAATTAACATAACATTGTTTTTATTATTAAAATACATTTTAAAAATGAAAATATGGAATTCTATGGAGGAGAAAATAGAGTAAGAAATGTCACATTCTTAGAAATAGATGGTCCTGTGGGCATGCAGAAAAAATAGGAGCATTTGTGAGAGAAATAAGTAATGAAGTAAAAGAATAGTGAAGAGAGAACATGCAATTTCCAAGCCTTTTCATTGCCCATTTCTTCCCGTTGTTCACCTTGAGGGTTCCATCTCAAATCCGAAATAGATCATGTACTGAAGATAAATTAAGAAAAGAGCAAACCTGCCACCTTAATAATTTGTTTTCTCTATTATGTGTCTAGCTAGTGTAGATGATTAATTTCGTATGTTTCCTGTTAGCTTTTTCATGAAACCAAAATACTGAGTCATTGATTTGTTACAGATGAACAAACTGATTGAATATTACCAGCAGCTTGCTCAGAAAGAGAAGGTTGAACGAGATCGCAAGAAACTGGCACGACGTAGAAACTATATGCCTTTGGCTTTTTCGGTGAGCACTTAGCACAAAAAGGAGATTGCAGTTCATTGATCAAGACTTCTGTGATGTGCTGAAACCGGTTTGGCTCAGTGGTAGAGGGTCGGTCTGCGGACTGAAAGGTCCCAGGTTCGATTCCGGTCAAGGGCATGTACATTGGTTGCGGGCGCATCCCTAGTAGGTGTGCAAGAGGCAGCTGGTCGATGTTTCTCTCTCATTGACATTTCTGGCTCTCTGTCCCTCTCTCCTCTCTGTAAAAAGTCAATAAAATATATATTTTAAAAAAAAAAAAAGACTTCTGTGATGTGAGGACTATGACTCTTTCAGAAAGTGGCCATTGTCCTTACATTCCTGAAGGATGGGTAACAGAAAGGTTCCTCAAATTATAGGAGTTTGTTTAAGTCCAGCAGTTATGCTTTTACCACATCATTAGTTCTCTGAGTTTTAAGGACATTTGTGTTTCTCTTCTGATTATTCTCCAAAGAGGCTAGTGTTTAATTCTGTAGGCACCACAGAACGGTAACAACTTTGGGATATTACAGAAACTCAGAAGTGGTAGATTTTATTCATATTACCACATAGCCCACCTTTGATATCCTCGGAGTGGTGGTTTTCTGGCTCTAGTTGTAATTTGGGGGGCACCTTTCCATATTTCTCCAATATAAAAAAACACTGAGTATTTGTGTGGTTAAATAGTAATATTTAAAAAATATATATTTTATTGATTTTTTACAGAAAGGAAGGAAGAGGGAGAGTTAGAAACATCAATGAGAGAGAAACATCAATCAGCTGCCTCCTGCACAGCCCCCACTGGGGATGTGCCTGCAACCAAGGTACATGCCTCCGATCGGAATCGAACCTGGCACCCTTGAGTCCACAGGCCGATGCTCTCTATCCACTGAGCCAAACCGGTCAGGGCGTAAGTGTAATTTTTGATAGGAAGTATTTATGGAAGTCATTCTTTACTAGTTCCCATGCTACCCATCAGAAAGAAGAGATTAAGATTTGGAGCTTTTATTATTGTTCCCAAGTTTTATTTGCTGTCACGGAACAATTTGTTTTCTGTGTGTTTGCTTGGAGCTACGCAGGTTGGCATTTAATAAATACCATTTGTTGAATGGCAATGAATGATGTGTCAAGCACTGTGCTAGGCACTTTACTCATTTTATTAAATCATCATCATAATCTTGTGGAATAGATGGCATATCCTCATTTTACAGTTGAGGAAATGTGATCTGTATAGGTTAAATAATTTGTCATACTGCTTCTACATGAGAATTAGTTAAGCTATCAAAATCCTACAAATTGGTAAGATCTACATAAAAATACCTAGAATTTAATAAAGCATTAAAACTCACAAGGCAGTCCTAGCTGGTTTGACTAAATAGACAGAGCATTGGTCTGCAAACTAAAGAGTCTCAGGTTCGATTCCAATCAAGGGCACGTATTACAGTTGCAGGCTCAATCTCTAGTAGGGGCTGTGCAGGAGACAGTTGATTGATGATGTTCCTCTCTCCTCCCTTCCTCTCTGTCTAAAAAAAAAAAAAATTTTTTTTTAATCAATAAAAATAAACTCACAAGGCATTTACATTTGCCAAAGACTTAATGGAATCTTAATGAGTTTTTCTACATAGTCCAGTGGTATAAACAGCATATGCACTAGTGTATTTAGGAGAGGGATTTGAATTAAATGCATCATTCTTCCAACTTTCCCATATAACCTGCCTGCTGTATGAGTTTGCTTCTCTTATGCTGCATTTTTTTTTTTTTTTTATCTTTGTTGCAACCTGCTGCTATTTTGGGGCCTACAGCAACATACTATTCATGTAGTGGTAAGTTCTCTTTTATAATTCTTGCTAGCCCTGAAGAAGCTTGTAGATGATCATTGGTGTTCCAAGAAGACATTCCATATAGCTCTGGTCTAAACCAGTGGTCGGCAAACTCATTAGTCAACAGAGCCAAATATCAACAGTACAACAATTGAAATTTCTTTTGAGAGCCAAATTTTTTAAACTTAAACTTCTTTTAACACCACTTCTTCAAAATAGACTCACCCAGGCCATGGTATTTTGTGGAAGAGCCACATTCAATGGGCCAAAGAGCCACATCTGGCTTGCGAGCTGTAGTTTGCCGACCATAGGTCTAAATCATAGTTTAGATATTTAGATTATTTTTTAAAAATCACATTTTGTTCAGTTTTACTATGTTAATGTATTTTCAGTCTCCATGTTGGTACTTTTAACTATTTTAAAAACTAGTGGCCCAGTGCATGAAATTTGTGCACACTGGAGAAAGGGGTTCCCTCAGCCCGGCTTGTGCTCTCTTGCAGTCCAGGAACCCTCAGGGGATGTCTGACTGACGGCTTAGGCCCACTCCCCAGGGGGCCCAAGCCTTTAGTCGGACATCCTTAGCACTGCTGCAGAGGCAGGAGAGGCTCCTGCCACCATTGCTGCATTCACTAGCCATGAGCCTAGCTTTTGGCTGAGCGGCCCTCCCCCTGTGGGAGCGCACTGACCACCAGGGGGCAGCTCCTGCGTTGACCATCTGCCCCCTGGTGGTCAGTGCACATCATAGTGAACTGTTTGGTTGATTTGTATATTAACCTTTTATTATATAGGATAAGTTAATGTGGGGGCTACAAATTTCTCTCTTTAAAAGACACTTTCAACTTAGTTTGCTTTTGTTTGCTTGTTTTTTGCTTATTTCCCTGAGCTTCTCATGCTGTCCCACCCAAAATTCTTTCTTTTGATAAATAGAATGTTTAAAGGTGGAACTTCTAATAGGAATTTCTGAACTCTGTTTAGGATAAATATGGTCTTGGAACCAGACTTCAGCGACCACGAGCTGGTGCAACCATCAGTACCCTGGCTGGACTTTCGTAAGTTTGGACATTAAGTGGCTTTGAGGAGAATAAGCAGGTATCAAAATGAATATTGAAGGAGTGTGATTTTTAAATAAATAACAGTTGCCAATGGTGAAGAAGATTCTCATACTTAGAAGAGACCTAAACAGAAAGAATATTCTATAATAGAGGAATACTTCAATTTTTGTTATCATAGAATTTGAAGATAATTAGGTGGACCCTTGAGAAATTACTACCTTTCCTCTTTTAGCCTTAAAGAAGGAGAGGACCAGAAAGAGATAAAGATTGAGCCAGCTCAAGCTGTAGATGAAGTGGAGCCTCTACCTGAAGACTATTACACAAGACCAGTCAATTTAACAGAGGGTAATTTTATACATGATTCTACTTGGTTTTTATTTTACAACTAATTCTACTTTTGTTACTCTTATGCCTTGTGATTTGAGATTTTTAATAGCATAGTTGTTAGAAGTAAAATGAATCCTAGAAAATAAAGTAGATATAATAGAAATAAACATTTGAACTTTAAAATGTCCCATTCCTTTATGGTAGTTTTTTGAAGAACACTATTCACAAATGCAGTGTTGTTTTATGTAATTATTTTGTATAAGTCTGATATTGAGCAGGTCACTAAACTGAGGCTGGTTTCTGCCTTTCATGCTAGTAACCACCCTTCAGCAGCGCCTCTTACAGCCTGACTTCCAGCCAGTCTGTGCTTCTCAGCTCTATCCTCGTCACAAACACCTTCTGATCAAACGGTCCCTGCGCTGCCGGGTAAGTAGAGTTGCCATTTGTATTGGGGAAAAGCAAAAATAAAGTCAACGTGATTGGTGTCTGGCCAATATAAAAATCTCTGGAAGATAGTACATATAAAGACTGTATAGGTATCCAGGCACATTTTAAATATTTTCAACATAAATTCAATCCTTACAATTCTGTGAGGTGTAGGTACTATTGTTACCCTTGTTTTACAGATGTGGGACCTGAGGTATCAGAAGGTTAAGTTCATAGTACTAACCCCTAAAAGATTAGTGAAAGAATATTTAGCTATTAGTTTAGTGGAGTGGAAACAAAGAGGACTGATAATAAATAATCAATTTAAAATAAAGTAAGAAAGAAGAAAAATCCAGGCTCTGGGAATCTATAGAAGAAGCAACAGAGTTCCTCAATAAATAAGTTGTAAAAGAAAAAAAACCCACAGAAATGAAGCCTTTTGTATCAGTCCTATCCAACAGAACTCCCTTTGATGATGAAAATGTTCTGTATCTCACTGTCCAGCATAGCATGGCTGCCACTAGTCACATGTGGCTACAGCAGTTGAAATGTGATAGTGCAACTGAGGAACTGAATCTTTCATTTTAAATTCATTTAAATAACTACATGTCAGTAGTGGCTACTGTTACCAAATAACACAGCACATAATCGGAAGAGACCTACGAGGCATATCAAACACATTGTGTAGACTTTATCTAATTCCTGATTTAAACAACAGAAAAAAGAAGGGAACAAGAGAAGGAAGAAGAATGAGGAGGAAAGAAAATTTATGAAACTTTTGGGGAAATTTAAACACTGTATTTTTTTTTAATATATTTTATTGATTTTTCACAGAGAGGAAGAGAGAGGGACAGAGAGTTAGAAACATTGATGAGAGAGAATCATCGATGAGCTGCCTCTTGCACACCCCCTAATGGGGATGTGCCCGCAACCCAGGTACATGACCTTGACTGGAATCGAACCTGGGACCTTTCAGTCTGCAGACCGATGCTCTATCCATTGAGCCAAACTGGTTCCGGCTGTCTGTATGTTTTTATGCTATTAAAAGAATTATTCATTTTTTAGGTATAATAATAGTATTTTTATCCTCACCTGAGGATATATTTTATTGATTTGAGAGAGAGAGGAAGGGGGGGGTTATCATTTTGATAACCCTCTCTTTAGAGAAAACCCATACTGAAATGAAAAAAAGACCATAGACTGAGAAAAGTAATTTGAAAGGTATATAATTAAAGGATTAGTATCCAGAATATGTAAAGAACTTTAGCAGTAAGGAAAAGGTATCTTAGTATAAAAATAACCAGTAGAGCCGGGACCTGTTTGGCTCAGTGGATAGAGGGTCGGCCTGCGGACTCAAGGGTTCCGGGTTCGATTCTGGTCAAGGGCAAGTATATTGGCTGCGGGCACATCCCCGGTAGGGGGTGTGCAGGAGGTAGCTGGTCGATGTTTCTCTCTCATCGATGTTTCTAGCTCTCTATCCCTCTTCCTTCCTCTCTGTAAAAAATCAATAAAATATATTTAAAAAATAACCAGTAGATACTAACATACAAATCATGGCAGAGGAAATCCCAAAACCCAATAATTAGGAAAGATGCTCAGACTTAGACAGTAATCAGAGAATTGTACATTGAAACTACAGTGAGATACCATTTCATAGATTACCAGGTTGGCAGAAGTTAGCAGTTTGGTAGTGTCTATCAAAATAACAAATGCACATACCCATTGATCTATTTTTAATAAAGTATTCTACATAAACATTTACACATGTGGAAAATGATTGATGTATAAGAATATTTATAGCAGCATTATTTGTAGAAGCAAAATCATAGAAACATCAATTTGGGTATAGCTAAAGAAGTAATAGGAATTGTTACAGTAGGATACAGAGGCACCTCTGTGTGTGCTGGTATGGAATTCCAAGACAGATGGGGGGAGAGGGGGGATCAAAGGGTAAAACAATGGTCCTTTTATGTTATTATGAAAAAGAAAGGTAATGTATTTGTATACTTTTATATGCATAGGCTGTGAAAAAACATATGAGAAACTGGTTGGCTTGGGAGAGGTTCAAGGGGACAGGTAATAGGTATCTTTTTAGTGTACCTTTTTTATATTGTTAAAACAATTTTTAACCAGGTGCATGTAGTACCCATTCAATATATAAGGAAATAATTGTTACTGTATTTTAAAGTGTGATATCTGAAATCATACTATGAGCATTTAAATCCCAGCTCCAATTCTTACTGGCTCTGTGAAGTTGCACAGATTATGTATTCTTCCTGTCCCCCATTTTCATCATCTATGAAATGGGGACAATAATACCCCTATCTCATAAGTTGATGTGATGTTTAAATCTACTTAAACCAAGAATGTATACTTTCTAGGCTAGTAGAGAGGAAATGAAAAGGACTAAAAAATAATATAAAAGAAAGCAAGAAAGAAGAAAAATCAACAAAATCTACATTGTTTAGCACATAAAGTAAGTACTCAGTATGTTAGTTTTATTATTTCAGTAGTTTGCATTGCAAAAGTATAATTTTTGATAGTGTGGTTGCTGTATCCAAAAGTTATCTGTAACACACGCTATTTCAAAACACGTGGTTTTGCAGAAAAATACTAGTAAAACAAAACTCTAGTAAATGCTATACTTCTAAACTTAGTAGCTCCCTGGATCAGCAGAATGTGTCCTTGTTTTCCTCTGATAAATATATTTTTTACTTTTTTTAGAAATGTGAACATAACTTGAGCAAGCCAGAATTTAATCCAACATCTATCAAATTTAAAATCCAGCTGGTTGCTGTGTGAGTATTTTAGGATGGGTGTTTTGGGGTGTGTGGATTTTTTTTTTTCTTTTCTTAAGAAAGAAAAACTACATCAAAATAATCTTGTTCTGTTCCTTTTTATATTTGAATTATACACCAGGAAGTTTAAGGCAAATCTATATAGACAGAATCCAGGGTGTGTTTGTATTAGTGACACAGTGATAGGTGGATTGTTGGGTAGAGAGTCACTCATCATTCATTACAAATTACAAAGTACCAAAGTTTGAAATGATCTTTTAAAAATTAAAGTAAAAAATAATAATAAAGTATAGTAGGTTGAAGAGTACCCCGTAACAATGTTCATTTATTTAACTGTGTTCCAATAATGCTTCACTGAATGTGATAAAAGTGATTTAAGTTAGTTTTATCGATAACTCACTGGGACTTGTTAGTAGAAGGAAATTTTTGTGTATGAAAATCACTTGTCAAACAAGAAGAATATTTTGATAAATGAGAAAAATATTGTCTTGACTTTAGGGTGAGTTTGTCCTAATTAACGCATGAAACTCAGAAGCCACTAAGGAAAAAATAGATAGCTTTGACCTTAGCAAAAAAACAATAACACGAATTGTCAAAACAAAATCAACAATAACAAAGTCTTGAGACAGTAGAACAGAAAAGAGTATTTGCCACCCTAACCAGTTTGGCTCTGGATAGAGCAGCAGCCAGCAGACTGAAGGGTCCCAGGTTCAATTCTGGTCAAGGGCATGTATCTTGGTTGTGGTAGGCTCAATCCCCCGTAGGTGGCGCACAGGAGGCAGCTGAATGATATTTCACTCTCATCGTTGTTTCTCTCTACAAATGTTTTTTCCTCTCTGTAAAATCAATAAAATAAATGTTTTAAAAATTAAAAAAAAAAAGAAAAAAGTACTTGCCATTCTTGACAAATAAGTGGACTGCAGAATTCCTCACAAATTGGAAAGGATTTGAACAGGCAGCTCACAGAAAAGGAATTCCAGTGGCCAATCAATACCAAATGGAAATATACTGAGACTTGTTAGAAAATCTAAAAAAATAAAAAAGCATCTGGTGCTGAGAATTAAGGTGAATATTTTCTTACATTGATGGCAGGCTGGCAATTTGCTAGTCTTTTTTGGAGAATGATCTGGAATACCAAGATGAAATTACATAGACTTTTTAACCCAGCAGTACCATCTCAGGAATCTATTCTGTAGAAACAAAAGTACCAATATCTAAAGATACATTTATAGGATGTATATTGTAACATTTTAATGACAAAAGCTTGAAATAATTTCAGTGTCAAGCTGATTAACCACTATCAAAGAAATAGTTGATTAAATTGACATACACTAGTGCTATAGAATATTATGCAGCAATTAAAAAGCCAGTGCCAGTCAAAAGGTTGAGAAGTGCTGATCTGGTGAGTTAGGAGAAAGGCGCTAAAAGGGCCTCGTATGGGTTCTGTTACTCTGTCTAAACTTATTTCCCTTGTCTCTGATATGGGAATACCAATCCCACCTCCCTCTAAGGGTTGTGAGAAGAATCATTTGAGCTATTATGTTTGCAAATGCTTTATAAATGTAAATCACCAAAAAATATGTTCTGTTTTCCTATTTAATACATGATTGGTTAGCAAAGAAGAAAACTATAAAAATGGTATATGTGATGTTTTGTACGCACATCTTTCTTTCTTTTTTTAAATATATATTGATTTTTTACAGAGAGGAAGGGAGAGAGAGTTAGAAACATCGATGAGAGAGAAACATGCCTACACTCCCTACTGGGGATGTGCCTGCAACCAAGGTACATGTCCTTGACCAGAATCAAACCTGGGACCATTGAGTCCACAGGCTAACGCTCTATCCACTGAGCCAAAGCGGTTAGGGCTGCACATCTTTCCTAATTAAGAATTATAATTACACACATTAAAGAAATCCTGAATGGCAGGATGTACCTAGCATTAATTTCTTAAGCTTGCTTTGAGCAAAAATGCTTTTTTTCTGACATCATGGCAGTATTTGCCTGGGAATCTTAATACATGTATGTACTCTGGCCACACTGCATGTCACACATGCTAAATCCAAATCCTTGATAATGGGGCCCTTGAATTTGTATTAAGTTACTCAGAGAGATCTGACGACCAGCAGAGAAAATATCTAGTCTGAAGTTAAAATACCTTATTACCTCTATTTTAAGGTTCACTTCCCCTTAACCCGCCCCACATGCACACACACTTTTAGTGTGGCCTGGTGCTCGACATTCGTGACACTGGGGCAGGGTGGGGGGATCCCTCAGCCTGGCCTGTACCTTCTCATATTCGGGGACCCCTTAGAGGATGTCTGCCTGCTGATAGAGGCGAGAGGTTCCCGCCACCGCCACTGTACTCATCAACGTGAGCCTAGTTTCTGGCTGAGTGGTGCTCCCCCTGTGGGAGCGCACTGACCACCAGGAGCAAGCTCCTGCATAGAGCATCTGCCCCTGGGGCTCAGTGCATGTCATAGCGACCGGTCATTCTGCCATTTGGTCCATTTACATATTAGCCTTTTATTGTATAGAATATGCACAATTACTAACATTTATGAGTACTTTGTTCAAGGCACTTTTACATACATTATTTAATGTATTCTTCACAATAACCTCAAGACATAGATATTATAGTATTATCCTTCTCATTTTAAAATTGAGAAAACAAAGCAAAAGAGGTAAATATCTTGCCCTGGGGTCTTGACAGAGAAATACTTTGGTATATAAATATTGAACTGGGATTTGAACCTGGACAGTTTGAGTTCAGAATAAACACATATGAGTACAATTTTGTGGTCTTATTTTTGAAAGGCAGCATAAGATAGTGGGTAAGAGCAAGGACCCTGGAGCTGGACTGCCTGGGTTTGAATCCTGCCCACTTACCAAGCCTAGCTGCTTCGTCTTTATAATGGGGGTAATAATAATGACTAGCTCATGCAGTTGCAGTGAAGGGTACAGGAGTTCATATTTGAAAAGTACTTAAAACATTGACTGGCACATAGTAAGTACTGTATAAAAGTGTGTGCTAGTGTTTTTACACTGCTGCAATATGATATTTAGTCATTTTTAGATCCTATAATTAGCTTTTAGATTTATAGTAATGAACTAATAAAAATCTCAAAAATATATACCTTTCATGATACCCAACAACTATTGGCTCTAAAGTAGAAGGGTACATAAGATTTTAGAAAGAACTCATTACCAATTTGGTCTAATGTCTTAGGTTCTTACTATAGTGAAGATATGATTCTCTAAAATTCTTTTCATTTGACATGTTCTAATTAACATGAAGAAATCATATTTTATGAGACTCCAGTGACTGTTAATGCTTTTTTTACTCATTCACAGCAATTACATCCCAGAAGTGAGAATTATGTCGATTCCCAATCTTCGCTACATGAAGGTTAGTACTTTGCTTTATTAACAGGAAAAGAAAGAATTCCTTGACTGAAGATGTGTGCATGTGTGGTGGGTGGCTGTGTGTATTTGGCATGGACACAGTGAACAAGGGATAAAAGAGAAGAAAGTTTGGAATAATAAAGGGATTGAGATTTTAAAGTTCTTTAGCTGAGATTCTTAACAATAGCATCTATGAATGTATGCAGAAGGAGCATTGTGCACAAAGTGGGTGGTGAAAGAAAGACATTGAACCCCATAGGCATTTTTAGCTATTTTCCTTCATCTCCTGTGTACGTATGCAGCAGATAACAGGAAGCATCTAGATTTTGAGGCCCTTATCTATGCCCTTTCCTCCCCCTTATATTCCCATTATGAATTGAAGAACATTCTGCCGCAGCCTCTTTACTTTTTTCTAATACATTTTTTTTTTAATCGATTTCAGAGAGGAAAGAAGAGGGAGAGAGAGATAGAAATATCAATAATGAGACAATCATTGATTGGCTGCCTTCTGCATGCCCCCTACTGGGGATCGAGCCTGCAACCCCAGCATGTGCCCTTGGCTGGTCTCGAACCTGGGACCCTTCAGTTCACAGGCCAACCCTCTATCCACTAAACCAAACTAGCTAGCCTCTTTAGTTTTAGTTTAGTTTTCCTTTCATGGTGCCCATGAAGACATTTATAAAGTCCCTGTTCATTTTAATATTATTTGCTAATCTCAAGAGAGTACACAAGGACAAACTATGGTTCAAAAATCTTAAAAATCTTACAGTCTTGATATGCCATTTTTTTCTATTATTATATCTGATGAGTCTGTGGCTCCCATATTTTATTTTGAGGGCTTCCTTTTAGTCCTTAAGTGGAGGACTGAGTGGAGCAAGAGTTGTAAACTTTAAATAATCACTTAGATTAAATACATTTCTTAGAATTTCTGGATCTAGTAACTTGCCCTTTCTATTTGATCTGTCCCATTTCCTCAGTGAAATAACTCTAGAGAGTATATGGCCTAACATATAAATAATAGAGTAGGAATGTGTGAGCATTTGGAGAATGCAGTAATGGAGAGGTATGGGTGGAAGATAGTTGATTTTGTGAAATATTTGCTATAGCAGCTAAGAAAGTAGACCTGGTGGCAATAGTGGAACATGTCTAAGATGCTTTTCCTGTTTCACAGGAGAGCCAAGTTCTCCTGACTCTTACGAATCCAGTGGAGAACCTCACCCATGTGACACTGCTGGAATGCGACGAAGGGGACCCTGATAATGTCAACAGCACTGCTAAGGTGGGAGCATTTTGCCTTGTTCTGACCCTGATTTTTCCTGGACTGACCTCATTTGACCTGGCTTACAGGACTCTGTACTGTCTCTCATTTCTATATCCAAGGTATCATCGGTTCTTCTGATTCTACCTCCGAAGGTTTTACTTTCTCTGCAGACACTGCCACTGCCCTGTTTGAAAGATTCATCTTTTCTTACCTGGACTGTAGTAGTTTCCTATCTGACCTCACTGTTTTCAGTCCACCCCGCCTCCATTCCAGTCCACCTTCTGTCTTGTCACCAGGGTGATCTTTCCAAAATCTGATTTTGATAATGACATGCTGATTACTTGCTATTCCTCTGACTCTGAGATGAAATTCAAATTCCTTGACGTAGCAGAAGAGCTCCTTAATGTCCTTACTTCTTTATGTTCTTAATGTCCTCACCTCTCTCTGTTCTTCAGATGATTTTACGCCAGATCTCCAAATCTAGCATTCTCCCAATTATACATATTTATGGTTGAGATCCAGGCAAATCTCATGGCTTGTGAACTTTCACCCTGGAGAATTGCATATGCTGTTTTTTTTATCCTAGAATGCCTCTCCTGCCCCCTCTCCCCTGGCATACATGCCCACACCACTCCTTCAGTATAATGAATGCTTATTCTGCAAGACTCATAGGAATTAGCATCTCCTTTAAAAGTTGGTATGCCTCCTCTAGATGCGTTCTGCTTATATAGAGAATGCATAGCACTAAATAAATATTAAAACAGGTAATTTTTGACTCTCAGTGTTAGGTGAGTAAATGAAATGTGGCCCTTCTCCATTTTGCTATTTGGTGATTTATCTAGTATAATACTATAGATCAAGACCTTTCTCTATAGACCATCTATTACTGACTCATAATTCAGCGTGATATTTATTAATAGAGATTGGTAGAAAGGATACCTCTGTCTGTAATTAGCTGTTATTCAAATAATCCTTTTTAGTAGGGAATGTCTTGATCCTATCCCTTTTTTCCTTCCTGTGCTTTATGTATGAGGGCTTTCTTCCTTTTAGTTCTTAAGTGGAGGACTTATTATTTCACTTGTTAGCATTACTCCCAAAGAGAGATGACACCCCTCCCTCCTTGTTTCTTTTTCTTTTTGTTAAAAAACACTAAGTTGTTCCACTAATGGTAGAAACAGAAATAACTGCCTATGCATATACCCAGCTGGTGAATTTGCTGTATTTCTTTCTCTTTACACTCCTCAGCCACATTTGTATCCATAATTAGAAATGTGGCTGATGTTACCTGTTAACCTCTGACATAGCAAAGTTGAAGCCTAGTTACAACAGAAGGATAAGTCTGAAGAATGCTTGTTTTCCATGACCATAAACATACCCAACATCCCCGTTTCAGAAAATACTGTTTCAACCAGTGTTTCTCCTTTATGTGTTCCTTAAAAAAAAAAAAAAAAAAAAAAAAAGATGAACTGCTTCAGATATACCATAAAGTTTGAAGACTAATGTAGCAAAAATCCATGTACTTCCATCCCCTTAAGAAATAGAATATTAAAGACACAATTAAAACCTCTTCGCCCTTCCCACCTGAACTTCCCAATGCAGCCACAATGAAATAAACACTCCCTTAACTTTATCATTCCCTTGAATTTTTTTTGTCCTTATATTTTTACTGGAAATGTCTGTTTTTTAAACAGTGATTTTAAACTTCATGTAAGTGCTATCACACTATGTTTCTTGAGTCTTGCTAGTTATTTCTAAATGTCCGCATCACTGTAATACTTCGCTGTATTCTGTTGAATGAATGTCCTACGACACAGATTCCTTCTAAGGAGGGCCTCTCTCTCGTTTTCCAGGTGGTGGTGCCGCCCAAAGAGCTGGTGCTGGCCGGCAAGGACGCGGCCGCAGAGTACGACGAGCTGGCAGAGCCCCAGGACTTTCAGGATGATCCCGAGTGAGTGATCTTTCTCTGACACCCCTCCCCCCACATTGGCTGATACAGGAGGCCCACTTAGAGATCCTACATATTTGCCCTGCATTTTAAAAACCAAGTTTTTCTTCTTATAAAAATAATTACTATAGATATTTTGAAAACACACATCAACTATGAAGAAGAAAATAAAATCTAGCCACCAGAGATAAGCATCATCTACATTTTGGTGTTTGTCCTTTCATCATTGGTATCATTCTGTAAGCACGTTGTTTTAATCTTTGTTTTTTTTTTTCACATAAATACATTTTCCCATGTTAAAAACATTTCAAGTGCATGTATAATGGTTGTAGACAGAATACAGGTTGCTAACAGAATACACTACTATCCCTGTAGATTTATCCCTGGATTTGTCCACTCCTACCCTCACTCTCTTAGAGTAATTAATAGATTTAATTCTCTCAGACCTAATAACTGAAAAGGGAAAGACCAAACCTTTTCCAGAATGGGGAATGCATCATCAGCATCCAGTCTGAAGACAGAAATCATATCAGTTATTTGAACAGAGAGGATTTAATATAAAGAATTGTTAACTGGGTAACTTCAAAGGTTAAAATAACTCTGAAGTATCCCAGAGATGGCAATTTTATGAAAGAGCTACCACCCCAGGGCTGAGGGAACACAGGGAAATGGTTAAAATTGTTAAAACGTAGAAACTTGAAGGAAGGCCCTGGTGGAGCAGAAATTCAGACCTGTGGGCAGTGAGAGGGGACACGCTTTACAGGAGCTGGCATCTTGGTGGCAGTAGAGGCCTGCACGATGCAGCTGGTTATGCAAGAGTTGGAACACTAGCTGGCTCTTGACACTTTCTGAGTGACGGAGCGTTGATGGAGTGATGCCCATGGGAACCGCACACAAACAGCAAGCTCCCAGAGAGGAGTAAGCCCCTCCTTCCCGCAGGCTCTGGTCTCCCTTTAGAGTCCCCCTAACGGGAACCTGACAGGAAGCCAGCTTACAGAGCCGAAATGTGGTTAGCAGAGTCCTGGGTCACAAACCAAGATGTAGAAGGTGGGCCTGGAGCTGAGAAGCAGTGGCCTAATAGACTGGCACAGGGAACATTTAAGGTTTTGTAACAGAATAATCAGAATAATCAAAAGCAAATATTGGAAAGAAGAGAGGACATAGGATGGGTTGGAAAAATAAAGTGAGAGCAAAGGTGAGATTAGTACAGTGATTATGGGTTAAGTTGAGAAAGCACCAGGGCACGTGGTTTGTTTTGTTACATTGTTCTGTAGAGTCCTGGACTCCATCCCAGAGATTCTTTTCAACAGGTTTAGGGGGGCACCAGACATCTGAATTTTTTTTTTTTTTAGCTTCCCAGATGGCAGTGCTTGCCTGGGGGGTTAAGGATAGAAAGACAAATTTTTTCTTTTTTCTATTTTTAACTGAATTTAAAAAATGAATCTGATACAAATCAAAAGTTTATTAACTACAATATGAAATGCATTCTCTTTAATCTTTTGTTTTATGTGGGTCCTTAAGTTACATTCATTAGTACATAAATTTGTTAAGCCAGTGCAAATTATACATTATCTGAGGTAGTAAATTCCAGCCAGAGTAATTACATGACAGATTGACAAAATTGAATTAATTATATTTCACATTACTGTTCTTTATAGGACTTTTAGATATCTGGAAATTGAAGTTTTGCAGTACTGTTTAAATATGTAAATGTTTAATTCCAATAGCTTTTCTGAGAGTGACTGAGTATCATTTGGACAGTAGCTCAAATTCTGTTTATTTAATTACTTTTTGAAGTTATTTTTTTAAATATATTTTTATTGATTTCAGAGAGGAAGTGAGAGGGAGAGAGCTATAGAAACATCAATGATGAGAGAGAATCATTGATTGGCTGCCTCCTTCATGCCCCCTACTGGGGATTGAGCTAGCAACCTGGGTATGTGCCCTTAAATGGCATCGAGCCCAGGACGCTTCGGTCCGTAGGCCAACGCCCTATCCACTGAGCCAAACCAGCTAGGGCTGAATTCTTAATTTATAGAAGTTATTTACAAAAACACTGATTTATGGTGTTCCAGAAATTTCTTTAACTCTGAGTTATGATCACTGTTTATTCTATAGAAACATTACCACATATGCACAAAGATGTACGTAAAAAAGGGGCTTTCGAAGCACCCTTGTTTATAATAGGAATGTTAACAACAATCTCAGTGTATGACAATTATGGTAATATAGAATAGAATACTAGGAAACTGCCGAAACCGGTTTGGCTCAATGGATAAAGCATCGGCTTGGGGACTGAAGGGTCCCGGGTTTGATTCTGGTCAAAGGCCTGTACCTTGGTTGCGGGCATATCCCCAGTAGGGGGTGTGCAAGAGGCAGCTAATCGATGATGACTCTCTCTCATCGATGTTTCTAACTACTCTCTCCCTTCCTCTCTGTAAAAAATCATTAAAGTATATTAAATTAAAAAAAAAAAAAAGGATACTATTGTAGGAAACTACTAAGGAGAGTGGAGAAGATCTTTATATACCAATATGGAAAAGTGTTTCTGATAAATGGGGGGGAGGGGAGGAGAGACAACCTTTTGTGTTGGTTAAAAAAAGCAGAAAGTTATAAATACAGAAAAATATCTGGTTGGTTAAAAACCGAAGTGTTTGCAGTTTTTCCCTCATGCAGAAGGAAATAATAAGGGGAAAGGCTTTTACTTTTTACCATTTGAAATTGATTATATTTTACTTTTGTAACGCTTAAAAAATAAGGAGATCAACGTTTTGCTGAAGAAACTCCTCATTGCTGATAACATGCTGGGGGTTCTACCTTGTCATCAGATTTCCTGTAGTGGCTTGGCTGACTTGAGACCTGCCTAACGCTATGCTTATTTCCTTCCATAGCATTATAGCGTTCAGGAAGGCCAACAAAGTCGGCATTTTCATCAAAGTGACCCCACAGCGTGAGGAGGGCGAAGTGACCGTGTGCTTTAAGATGAAGCATGATTTTAAAAACCTGGCAGCGCCCATCCGCCCCATCGAGGAAAGTGACCAGGCCACGGAAGTCATCTGGCTCACTCAGCACGTGGAGCTCAGCCTGGGCCCACTCCTTCCTTAAATGTTCACTGGTGGGCAGAGCCCAACGGACAGTGTCACCACAGATCCCCGCGAAAACACGGAAGCCGCTGCTTCATCAGCCCTGTTTATAACAATGTACCCACACACTACTGAGTCCTGTCCTAGGAGGGTGGGGCATAGGCAAGGCATTAGGAACACAGGGCAACTGCTGTTCCTCTTACTCTGTTAACACCAGAAAGTCTGTGTCTCCCTCACCGAACCCTGCACGTTGACTACAACAGCATAGCTCCATCTGAGGAAAAGAGATGGCTCTTCCTCGGAGTGGCATTAGATTTACCACTTGAGAGATTCTGACATACTGTTGCACAGGATCGTAATCTCACAGTTGAACTGAAAATGGTAACTAAAAAGTAGGCCTGTTGGCCACGAACCGACATTGGTCTCAGTGTACCAACTGCTTTCTGCATTCCATTAGATATAACCTAGCAGTCTCACATACTTCTTCACTTGCCGTCATGGCTACCATCGTGCCATAAATTTCCATTTGACAGAAAAATGGAATTGTCACATTGCCTTCAGTTCTGTGATGATTGGAAATTCTTAAGCACTCTCATTTGCTCTCTTAGTGAATATAGGATACTTATTTATTGGTTGCTCTTTAAAAGTTTTCCCAGTAGAATATGGAACTTTAAAAAAAAAAAAAAGAATTTGAGAAGAAGGCACTTACATGTTTTATCAAGGGGTTGGCAAATTCTATTCACTTTAAATTTTACTACAATACCCAGGGATTAATACTTCACAGGGAGGCAGTCTTTATATGTGTCCCTACCCCTTCTCTGCTCTGCCTCTTTAACCCAATAGATTGTTCTGAATATTTGGGACCTGGAAAGAGTCCAAAGAAAACTTGGTGGACAAGTTCACTTCTGGAATGTACAAAACATCATAAAGGTTAGATTGTAAGCATGATCTGAACTAATGTTCTTTCCATTGATTTCAAGGGGAGATTAATAGTTATAAACTCTTGAATCCCAAACTGGATATTAAGAAAGAACCTTTCCCCTTCCTGAGTTTGACTTTCATTACATGATAAGTCAAATAAGACTATTTTGATTGTAAAATAGCTCAGCAAGCAGCCCAGAACACTTGCCTAACAGCACACATTCTGTTTCTGTTCTGTATCCTGGAGTTGGGTTGTTAACCTGAATTTCTGTGGTGTTTTCTACGATGAAACTTGAGACAGTAAACCACAAGCTGTACCACATTTTCTGTAAATGCATAGTTAGCAAATGGCCAGCAGACTTTTGGTAAAAAGTGAAATTTTCTGTTTACCTTGGTTTAATTTTCAGTTCAAGCCTTTAGAAGAAAAGGATGAGATATAGAAATAATGATATGGACAAGATCAAGTGTCCTGCCAGCTCCTTGGACAATAACTATATTTAGGAAGCCTTAAAAGACACTAAGTGGTACTTTTTAAGATCAAGCCAATTTTACGAAACAATATTCTATAGAGTAATATACTAGTATGTGCTACAGTGTAAGAAAAAATACTCATCCCTAATATTATGACAATAATAATTAAGGTTTAGCCTCTTAAAAGTTATGGCAAGTGTTGTTAATAACAAATGTACAAACTATAAAAATAGTTGAATTTGTTGTGAACCCCACAGAGTGTCGAATTAATTTTTATTTCACTACCTGCTGGAACCTACTGTGAAGCCACTGCTCCCATTTGCCAGCGAAGAAAGAGAATAGCTTTCTTAGTTTACACATTTGCATAGACTCACACAGTTTTGTGTTTTACATTCATGGCGTATAGCTGATATTTATTCCCAAAAGTAATAAGGTTGAAGTAATGGGTCTCATCACTTCCTCCCCCACCCCATGACACAGAATCACAAAAACACTTTTGATCATAGAATTTTTTTAATAAGCCAAATGAACTTAGAGAATAACGGAGCCATTGATATGTTTCCTCAAAATAGTTTTCAGTGCAAGCTGGTATTCTGTGTGTGAGTAGAAATGGTCCTCCACCTGCAGCTGGTGAATTCAGAATTCTTGTTACTTCTGTATATTAGATTAGATTTTTAATGCCCAGTCAGTGTGCACCACTGCAGGTGAATTAGATGTCACTAGCACTAGAGACTATACTTTTGGAAACGTAAGGCAAAATGAATTTGGATTTGTGATTTGATTATCCCACCAACGTTTTCTTTTGTTCTTGTGAGCATAATGAGCTAAATGTCATGTATATTTGTGAAGAAACATCCTTTTCAGGCCCTTTTGGGAATGAGGGGCACTCCGTGATCTTTATGAACGGCAGGTTCCTGTTTTGCCTTATTGCTTAATGTAATGTAGTGAAATAAAGCAGACAAAGCTCAAATGTCTTTGGTTTGGTTTCATGAAGACTGGAATAGCATGCATCAGAAGATGGGTGGAGTCAGAAGATGGGTGGAGTCCAGAGAGTTAATATGAGAGTCAATAGGGCATGCTTCCTTTGTCCATTTCTTTACGTGAACTAAGCCCAAACCTCAGATCAACTTGGTTCAAATTGATGTTGTATGGGTAGACGTTACTTGAGCTCCTTATAAACACATTCCGAACCATTATATAAGTGTTAGGTTGCTGGTTTCTACTAGGTTCTATCCTTGGTCATTGCTCCCAAAGACATCCTTTCAAGTATACAAAATGGCCCAACTGCAACCAGTAGCCACTCAACCCCCTTCATCTGTTTTGCCCTCCCCTGTATTTCCTTGTAAGTGAGGCTTTTCCCTCACTGCCATATTGAATGATGTAAACTGCCCACCCCACTAAATACATTTCCTATCCCCTTCTGTGGCCCCACTCCATAGCATTAAACACCATCCCATTAACTGTGTGCTCTCTATTTTCTGAGTACTCATACTAGATTATACCCTCCACAGTGCAGGGCTTTTTTTTTATTTTTTATTATTGTATCTGAAGCCTAGAACAAGGCCTGACAAATAGTAGGCACCCACTATTTATAAAATACTATCATCCTTTTTTATATAGCTATTGATCTTTTATCTTTTTTTCATCTACATATGTCTCTTTGTCATAAGCCAAATATCTTAACTTGCCTTAAGCTTTCTTGTTCTGGTGTTTTCCCTATGAATACTCTTCCCCCTCATTGTACCTCCAAAATTACTTTCCTCCTCCCATCTCTCCCTTACTTCCATGTAGGTGTGATCTTAATCTGTAGCACCTCTTCCTTGTATGATGGAGTTTTGTATATGTGTAGCTCCTTTGCTGGATTGCAAACTCCATCAGGGCCAAATCCAGCCCCCCTCATCTGTTTCTCATGTATTCCATTCAAAGGGCACCCTGGAGCAAACTCAAAACCTCAGAGCTAGTCGAAACCAGTTTGGCTCAGTGGACAGAGTATCAGCCTATGGACTGAAAGGTCCCAGGTTCAATTCCGGTCAAGGGTATTTACCTTGGTTGCGGGCACATCCCCAGTGGGGGGTGTGCAGGAGGCAGCTAATGGATGTTTCTTTCATCGATGTTTCTTTCATCGATGCTCCCTTCCTCTCTATAAAAAATAAATAAAATATATTTTTTTAAAAAAACTCAGAGCTAGCCAGGCCAGCATGGCTAGGTGGTTGAGCACTGAACTATGAACCAGGGATCATATTGTTATTTTTGGTGAGGGCACATCGCAGGTGGCAGGCTGAATCTCCAGTGTGGAACGTGCAGGAGGCAGCCGACCAATGATTCTCATCATTGATGTTTCTATCTCTCCCTCTCCCTTCCTCTCTGAAACCAATAGAAATATATTTAAAAATATTTCTGCTTAAAAAACAAAACTCAGAGCTAAGTCAATTGCTCAACTGTAATATAGTAGTTTTCCCTTCTTCAGAATTTCATTTATCTACAGTCAACCATGGTCCAAAAATATTAAATGGAAAATTCCAGATAGAAGCAATTCATAAATTTTAAATAGCATGCCATTCTGAATAGCATGATAAAACCTCATGCTGTTTCCCACCTGGGACATGAATAATCCCTTTGTCTATCGGTGCTGTGCACACCCATTAGTCAAATAGCTGTCTTGGTTATCAGATCCACTACTGGTTTTGCAGTACTTGTGTTCAAGTCACCCTTATTTTATTTCATAACGGCCCCTAAAATGTTGGCAATTGGGATATGCCAAGGAGACACCATAAAGTGCTTCCTTGACATGAAGAGGAATGTGTGTATAGGACAAATAGTATATGTAGTACTGTAATGATCTCAGGCATCGGCTGGGGGTCTTAGAAGGTGTCCCACACAGATAAGAGGGCACTCCTGTACTTTATCCTCATTTTCTTATGGTCAGGGGCATCTGTAGTGAAATATATATTTTACTTTAGATGTGAGACACCTACATAAGAATGACTAAGTGTTAAGTGAAATGGAACATTAAATAATATAGAATCAAACAGTGAGAAAGTCGTTTCCTCTCAAGTCTCCCCCGCCCCCTTTCTTTTGTTAAATCAAGGAAAGTCCAGCTGGTGTGTCTCAGTGGATTGAGCATCATCCCATGCACCAAGGGGTTGCTGGTTCAATTCCCAGTCAGAGCACCTGTTTGGGTTGCAGTTCAATCCCTAGGATGGGGCATGCAGGAGATGGCCAATCAATGTTTCTCATCCATGTTTCTCCCTAAATCAATAAAAACATACTTCCAGGAAGTTTGGCACATTTAACACTTATGTTTTTAAACAGGCCTCTGGCTCAGAGCCTTTGGCAGACAACAGTAGCTACTTACTAAAAAGTGTTTCATTTTCCCTGTAGTTGTTTTTAAGACTACTTCTAAACATAATACTAGTCCGGTTCGCATAGCTCAGTGGTTGAGCGTCAGACTATGAACCAGGAGGTCATAGTTCAATTCCAAGTCAGGGCACGTGGCTGCCTTGTGGGCTCAATCCCCTGTGTGTGAAGTGCAGGAAGCAACCAATCAATGATTCCCTCTCATCATTGATGTTTCTATATCTCACTCTCCCTCCCTCTCTGAAATCAATAAATATATTTAAAAAAAAAAACAAACATGATACTAATTTTACATTTACAGACGTGATCAAAATTTCCTTTTAAAATAAAAGTGGAGTCCAGCCTGTGTGGCTTAGTGGTTGAGTGTTGCTATGAACCAGGAGGTGATGGTTTGATTCCCAGTTGGATCATGTGCCCTGGTTGCGGGCTCAACCCCCAGTAGGAAGTGTGCAGGAGGCAGCCAACTGATGATTCTCATCATTGATGTTTCTATCTCTCCCTTCCTCTCTGAAATCAATAAAAATATATTTCAAAAGTAAATAAAATAAAAATAAAGTAAATAAAATAGAAGTGGAACTCAGGAGTTCCACTTCTGCCTATAATGCAGATACCTCGAAAACAAAAGGTCAATACATGGCGAGATCATACATTTTATTGGAGTTGTGGCAGAGCAGTCAAATACCCTGAATTTCAAGGAGGGACAGATCCTCTAGAAAGATCAGACAGAATGGCTCACCTGTAACAGAGCATGAGAGGAAGAAGTGTTGAATGCATATGAGCAGGTAAGAGGAAATCAACAACAACAAAATGAATTGTTAAAGCCCAACTCTGGGCTAAAGAGGCATTTTAAAACCCCAGAGAGCTTCAGACGCTAGGGAAGCTTTCAGGCATTCACAAGCTCTTCCCAAGACCTTCACCAGGTGTCCACAAGAAAGACCCGTGGGGACGGGGTGGTGCTGGAGCAATCAGAGCCTCCCTTGGTTTGGAGGCATGCAGAAGGGACCTTCTGCCACTTTAGGAAAGACACGAAAGCTTGCCCCCCACTTATACCCTTCCCTCATAAGGAGCATAAAGGCCTAAGTCACGGGGTGAAACAGAAATCCTGACTCCATTGCTGCTGGAACAAGGTAAGAAAAAACTCAAATTTGAGAGGGACAGTCCTGATTGAGCACCATGATTCTATACCAATTCCATTAAAGGTCTCCTACCACTCACTACAGGAAGGGCCAGCTGCAAATACAGGTCAGGGTTTGGTTGCCACTGAGAGGAGGGGCAGAAATACTAAGAAAAGCCTTGTTCCCAAGAACTGGCCACATGGGACCTATTTAAAACTGAGGCTGCATTAGAACAAAGAATCCCTGACCCCTCCACCACTAACTACCTAGGAAGCAGCTAGTAACAAACATCAGTTAGTGGGGGTGAGCAAATGCACAGACTTAACCACATGGTGCAGGTATGCAGGACAGCTGAAAGCTAAGGATGAAATATCAACACTTAAGAAAAGTCCCTCAATTCTAACCTAAAGCACAAAATAAGACTGGAGGATATGAAAGCTGTGGTACATTGAAGGCAACCATAGCAACAACAAAACCCAAACCCAGCTCAATTCCTGACTAATTGACCAAACTCACACAATTAGACTGACAGAAGAGGCTTGTCCATTTCCAAGCATTACTACTCTTTATCCAGTCAAAACCTTATACAGATGTTGAAACTATCAAATGAAGATTTAAACTCTCATAAACATGTTGAAGAATCAGTTGAAAATATGAATATGTGTGAACAGATTTCAGCAGAGAAGTAGAAACTGTAAGACAAATTGAAATAAAAATATAGGATCAGACATGAAGAATATCTTCTATGGGCTCATCTGTAGACTTGTCATAGCTGAAGAATAATCAGGAAACTTGGAGACAGATAAATAGAAATTACCTAAACTGATTCCCTCCCCCAAAGGGTGAAACAACAAAATTTTCCAGATCTATGGAACAATCTCAAATGGTCTAATATGTATAATTGGTGTTCCAGATGGAGAAGAAACGACAGAATATTTGAGCAAATGACCTCTAAGAATTTTCAAAATATGATGAGAGACAAACCACAGATCAAGAAGCTCAGACAGACCCAAGTGCTTTCTCATACAGGGGGAAAAAAAAAATATATATATATATATATATATATATATATATATATATATATACACACACACACACACACACACACACACACACACACACACACACCACTTGATCAAATAATCTCACTACTAGGTACTTACAACAACCTGTATATGAATGTTTTTAATGGCTGTATTTATATTCATGGAAATCTGGAACAATTCAAATATCCATCAATTGGCAAATGAAATTTTTTAACCCACCTGGTATACCCATACAATGGAATTCTCAGAAATAAAAAGGAACAACCGAGACTGGTTTGGCTCAATGGATAGAGCGTCGGCTTGGGGACTGAAGGACCCGGGTTCGATTCTGGTCAAGGGTATGTACCTTGGTTGCGGGCATATCCCCAGTAGGGGGTGTGCAAGAGGCAGCTAATCGATGACTCTCTCATGGATGTTTCTAACTCTCTATCTCTCTCCCTTCCTCTCTGTACAAAATCAATAAAATATATTTTTTTTAAAAAAGAAATAAAAAGGAACAAATTATTGATATGTCTAAAAATATTGATGAATCTCAAATACAATATCCTAAGAAGTTAGACCCAAAAAGGCTATATAGGATTCCATTTATAATATTTTGGAAAAGGCAAAACTATACAGACAGAACATAGACCAGTGATTGCCACTGATAGTGTATGTGGGAAGTGGATTGATTTGGGCACAGGGGAATTCTTGAGGTGGAACTAGGCTATATTTGTGGTGAATGTATGTAAAAATTTCCTAACTGTATAACTAGAAGGTAAACTTCTGTACAGAAATTATACTTTATTAATCTCATTTTAAAATTAGTTGGTAAGTCTTAGGTAGTTCGAAGATAAGGATATGTAAAAAAAATTATGAACGTGGAACCAGAATGCTTGAAATTAGTAAAATACTGGCAGAGTGGTTATAAGTTGTCCCCTAACGATAAACAAATACCTGTATTGATCTTTAAGACACTTTTCATAAGTTGGAAAAAACAGTACTATTGTCTTTGGATTTGTGGCTTCACCACTTATTACAAGACCATGAGCAAGTTACTTCACTTCTCTCAACCTGTTTCCTTTCTTATACTAGTAAAAGAGGGACGATCATACTTGCCCAGAGGGTAGTGGTTACCAGATAAAATACATGGCATCTAGTTAAATTTGGCTTTCAGATGAGTCATTTTTTGGGTATAAATGTCTGAAACATGTTTATACTAAAATATGGTTCTTTTGTTATCTGCAATTTAAATTTAACTAGACGTTCTGTGTTGTTGCTTGCTGATTCTGGCAACCCTACAGGAGTAGTTGTGAGCATTAAATAAGACATGGGCTGGCACAGCGCTTTAATCCCACCCCCTCATCCATTACTTGTTCCATTACTTGTTCCTTTATTCTTTCACTCAACTTATTCAATAAGCCAGATGTACTTGTGGTTCTTCATCCCCGGCAGGGACCCACAGGGCGGCACCAGCGTTTAACACATCAGCACTACACACGCGAGAAGTATTTCCGGGAGGGTGACGTCAAGGCGTACAAGGCCCCGCCCCCAAGGGCGCACAAGACGCACAAATAAGACGTCACAGGTCGGGAAGCAGCCGCGGAGCCTGACGGGATTGTGGCGGTCCTATCCTTCCAACTCGGAAGCATCGGCTGCCCCCGGACGCTCTCAAGATGGCGACTTCTCTGGGTTCCAACACCTACAACAGGCAGAACTGGGAGGATGCGGTGAGTGTACCCGGCAGGGGAGGACGGGAAGAGGCGGCGAGGCCAGGACTCTCGCGGGCCGGCCGGCGTGGCTGCGGCGCCGCCGAGGGGACTGCCGGGAGGAGCCAGCGCCGCGGCCTAGCTGGGCTGGAGCGGGAGGCCGGAGGGCGGCCCTGCTGCGGGCGTGGAGGGAGGGGGCTCAGCCAGGGTCCGAGACCAGCTTCGTTTGCATGCCTGCCTCCTCCACTCTTTCCGTGCTGGCCTCCTCTCGCCGCCTGCAGCGCCCCCTCCCGCGACCGGGCCCGCGCTAGACCTGGGGTTCCTGCCCTGCGATTCCCCGCCCCCGCTCCTCGTCCCTCCCCCACCCCCCATCTCCCCGTTACCCGCTAGTGTGGCTGACATGGCAGGGTTTTCCGAGCCTGGCCTTCAACCAGATTTCCCATTTTCACCAGGACTTCCCCATCCTGTGCCAGACGTGTCTTGGAGAAAACCCGTATATTCGAATGGTGAGTGATGGTGTGTGAAATGGGAATTATTTGTATTCTGTCAACGTGGTGGCACTTGCAAGCTGTCGGTGAACTGGTTCTCTCAGCCAGGCAGTAGTAAGATGCTGTCCTTTGCTAACTCAGGACAGTTTACAAAGGGCTGTCATGCTTATTACTCTGTCGCTTTGAAGCTCAGACAGTTGTGTGATGTAGGAGTCATAATAATAGCTCCGGTTTGTTAAGCATTTACCTGGGAGATAGATCTGTTAATCCGGAACTGAGTTTATCTCTTTTCATATAGCAAGTAATGAGTGGGGCTGGGATTTAAATTCATGTAGTCTCACTCCAGGACCTCAGCAAGTTAAGAGAAACAGGACTGGAAGCTAGGTTTCCTTACTCCTAAACAAATGCCTTTTGGCCACTGCACCTTGTCTGTCTCTTTAATGTCAGGTGTTCCCTATCGTCACAATTAAGGGTTAAATTAGTTAACATTGACTAGTGATCGGGATTGTATAATTGTGATCAGTCTCAGGTGTGGATAGGTTGATTTGTGCAAGATGTTGAATAGCTTATGGCCGTGGTCGGCAAACTGCAGCTCGAGAGCCACATGCGGCTCTTTGGCCCCTTGAGTGTGGCTCTTCCACGAAATACCACGGCCTGGGTGAGTATTTTGAAGAAGTGGCATTAGAAGAAGTTTAAGATTAAAATATTTGGCTCTCAAAAGAAATTTCAATCATCGTACTGTTGATATTTGGCTCTGTTGACTAATGAGTTTGCCGACCACTGGCTTATGGGAAGGGAACGTTTACTATATGCAGGATATCAGCACAACCTATGCCAGTTACTTCTGACTAAACTTTGTAAAAAATGGATTGGCCATGGCTCCGTCCTTCCTGAGTCGGGAACTGTGGGAACAGTTAGGAAGTTTCGTTCTTGGGAGACAGTAGTGAGCCTAAAAGTTGTGGCTGTTTAAAGACACATGCTACTTGGTGTTAGATCCATGATTCTTAAGAGATCAGAAATCATAGTAGGTGATTAGAATTTATACCTGTGCACACACCCCTCCTCCCCCCCCCCCCCCAACCTCCTTTAGGATGCCACACACATTGCTTGGGTTGTATTTGGGGAAGAAGCAGACATCTAGTTTTGTTTTGTTTTCTGGAACTCCAGTTCTTTTCTGTTTTTTTCTATTTCAGACCAAAGAAAAGTATGGGAAGGAATGCAAAGTAAGTATGTCTGTTAAAAGTAATTATGTCATTTTATTTTCCTTTTTTCTACCAAACTAGCTTTCAACTTGCTGAACTTTGAGGTCTTCTAGTAAAAGTCAGTGCTACACAACTTTCATATATCACTTATATACTCATTGGCTGTTAACTGTTTAGTGTGAGGTAAGGAAATGAGCCCTTCAGTCCAGAGGTTCTTAACCTGGTGTCTGTGATGGGCTTTGAACCCCCTGAGGTTGTATACCGAGTGCTGATTGTGCACATGAGAATTTTGCTGCGGAGGAAGATCCCAGCTGTCATATAAGATTCTCAAAGGAGTATATGACATTCCCCACTCACCCCAGAAGGAGTAAGGGTTACATTATTAACGGGGTGGAGAGGACTGAAAATTCCTCTTTTACTGGGGCAGGGTGTTGTAAATATGATTGAAATATCAAATAGCATTTAGGCTAGATGATTGCTAAGGTTTCTTGTAACCCTATATTTGGGGATCCTTTCTTTGAATCTTCCATTGTTAGTAAGTCTCCTGGATTGATTGTCTAGGTCAGGACTATTCATACTCTGTGGCTCTTATTTTGTGTTAAAGATCTGTGCCAGGCCATTCACAGTGTTTCGCTGGTGCCCCGGAGTCCGCATGCGTTTCAAGAAGACTGAAGTGTGCCAAACCTGTAGTAAATTGAAGAATGTCTGTCAGACTTGCCTCTTGGATCTGGAGTATGGTATGTTTGCCCAGTAAATAAATCTGAAAGTATACAGGTGCCCTAGAGAACAAACCAGTCTTTTAATCTCCCACGTCTACTCTACCTCTGGTTCTGACCTCAGTGTGGAATGTGTGCTGTGCTCTGCTTTTTCTTGTAAGGGGAGAGCCATACTAGGCCAACCTAGTGAACTCCTGAACAACAGTTGGAACTTAAAGAAAAGTTGGGAATTAATTAAAACTAGCTTAAAACTCCCTCTTGTGCATCCATATAGGTAAGGGGAGGTAAAGGCCTTATTCCGATGGTAGGTAATTTCTTTGCTTTGGGCTTCTTTCTAAATCCAAAGCTTTTTCCACAGTTCCTATCAGAAGTTCATGGGCTAATCTTGCTTTAGGTTTTTGCCTCAACTATATTGTTAGGACCGATAAACTGCTACTGTTTCAGAGTAAATGTTTTTGTTTTTTTTCTTAACTGAAAGTGACATTTTGTTTATGAGAAAATACTTTTTTTCAACAAGAGTTTCTGCTATATACTAAAAGGAAAATATGAGTTTATTTTAAATTCAGAAAGCTACTCTGCTTCTCAGTACTGGTCACATATTATTTTTAAATATTTTTATTGATTTCAAAAAGGAAGGGAGAGGGAGAGAGAGTGAAACATCAATGATGAGACAGAATTATTGTTTGGCTGCCTCCTGCACACTCCCTACTGGGGATTGATCTCATAACCTGGGCATGTGCTCTTGACTGGATCTGGGACCCTTTAATCTGCAGGCCGACACGATCTACTGAGCCAAACCAACTAGGGCCCTGGTCACCTATTTATATGTTTTTTAAGGAGGGGTTCTGGTTCTATAATACAGTGACCCGTTATATGACCATGACTATCCAGACAATCTGTAAGACTAACCTAAAATGAACCACTTTTTACATTTATTTAAAATATGTTTTTATTGATTTTTTTTTTTTTTTAGAGTGAGAAAGGAAGGGAGAGAGAAGGAAACATCGAAGAGAGAACATTTATCAGCGGCCTCCTGCATGCCCCCTATTGAGGATTGAACCTGCTGATCTCTTAGCTACTGGGTTTGACACTCTTTGTGCCTGGGGTGATGCTCAGTCCACTGAGCCACATTGTCAGGCTACATTTATTTGACATAAATTGTGATATAATGAAAGCTAGATACATTATTAATTTACAGGTCAAGTCTGACTATACCCAAAATTTGTTCATCCAAAAGATTTTCTAAAACATTTGTTTAGAATCATGATAGCTCAGGAATTAGGACAATTTCTTAGAATGCTCTATAGCAATATTTGCCTGATAGTGCTAAAGATTTTCAGTAAAAATATAGTAAAGCCTCTGGTATTAAATAAAGTAGAGAAAGGATGATATTGTATTCTGTGTGTATATTCAATAATGTTTTAAAATATGCCTGTTTTTCCTCCTTTTCTTTACCAGGCCTGCCCATCCAAGTTCGTGATGCAGGGTTGTCTTTTAAGGATGACATGCCAAAATCAGATGTCAACAAAGAGTACTACACACAGAATATGGAGAGGGAGGTATGCTGCCACTTCTTGATGTAGTCTTATATTTGGTAAAAGAATCCTAGTGGATTAACACAGTTTATATAATTTATCTTTTGAATTTGTCATCCCTGTGTGTAGATTTCTAACTCTGATGGAACACGGCCAGTTGGCATGCTGGGGAAAGCCACATCCACCAGTGACATGCTGCTCAAACTGGCCCGGACCACACCCTACTACAAAAGGAATCGACCCCACATTTGCTCCTTCTGGGTGAAAGGAGAGTGCAAGAGAGGAGAGGAATGTCCATATAGGTAAGAGCAGAAGTGCATTTTCAGTATTTGCTTTCAGATGATTAGTCATCTAAGAAGTGGGAGGTGCTAGTTTTAACAATTTCTGAATTAAAATCTAAAAGTATATACAACTAGTGTGGTATATCTCATATCTTAAGACTTAAATTTAGGAAAGCTTGATTAATTGTTTTTACGTATAATGGAGCTTTTACTTATAGCTGAGCCTTGGGAAGCTAAATTGCTGTGCTGTATAACACATTTGTTTACCCTGAGATGTAAGTCTTCCTATTATGGTATCACTGGCTTGAATCTCAGTGGGTCGATGAGGTGTCATATTAAGGACAGGCATCTAAGGGTGTGTGAGTATGTTTTCGTCAAGACTACTAAGCATCTGGATTAGGAGCTCTTAACTTGGGGTTGGTTAACCCCAGTCTCATGAAAAAAAGTATTCTGTTGTCTAGGCCTGGGTCCATAGCTTTAATCAGACTCTGAGTGGAATGCAAGACCTCAAATATGTTAAGAACCATTGACCTTGAGAGGGATAACAATGTTTTGGTTACCCTTTTTTGGGGGGTAGATTGTGCCACAAGTATTTCTAAGGAAGCTCTGTCACCCTGGATGGTCATTTCAATGGATTTCAGGGGGCTGGCAAGACCTTATAATACAGTAAATCACTTGATATCAGCTGTATGTCAATTTTGTTTTTGTATGAGCAGGGTTTTAGCTTAATAGTTATTTCCGGGTATATTTTTGGCACTTGGGTAGTACTGTTGGGTGATATCTATAAATTGTTTCTTTTGTTTCATCTTTATGCATTGTTCTTTCTTGAACGTAGACATGAGAAGCCTACAGATCCAGATGACCCCCTTGCTGATCAGAACATTAAAGACCGATATTATGGAATCAATGACCCTGTGGCAGATAAGCTTCTAAAGCGGGCTTCAACTATGCCTCGTTTGGACCCGCCAGAGGACAAGACTATCACCACACTCTATGTTGGTGGACTGGGCGATACCATTACTGAGACAGATCTAAGGTTTGTGGATATAATTTTATGAGCTCTTTTTGCTTTTAACTGTCTTCGAATAACTTGTGTGGGGCAATAACAGGCAAGCATGACCTTTTAAAAATACATTTTTCTTTATAGTCAGTAAATATGTTGACTAGAATTTTTATAAAATTGTTCTTTATGATGCTGGAGTAGTAATGTTCAACAACAATGCTTAGGCCATCCTTGCATGTGGTGATAATCATAGGAGATTCCATTTGGCTTATAGAATAGAGTTTTTAGAATAGGGCACACAATCAAATAGGCTTACTTATGTAGGGGAAGGAAAGTTTTGCCATTTTAAGATTCTTATGGTTTAAATTGTTTTTTTAAAGAAATGGCATTTGGTAAATTTGTATGATTCTTGGCTTGTATTTTGGTCAGCTAAATGAGGCATCTGGGCAGAAAGTGGAAATACCTCTTGAAAAGAGATAAAATGGAGCTCTGCCTGGTTGGGCTCACTGGATAGAGTGTTGGCCTGGGAACTAACGGGTCCCAGGTTCGATTCCGGTCAAGGGCATGTACCTTGGTTACAGGCACATCCCCAGTAGGGGGTGTGCAGGAGGCAGCTGATCGATGCTTCTCTCATTAATGTTTTTGGCTCTCTATCCCTCTCCCTTCCTCTCTGTAAAAAAAATCAATAAAATATATTTTTTTAAAAGAGAGATAAAGTGGAGAAGAAACTCCTATAATATAAGCTGCCTTGGTAGCCTGTCTCAACCACACCCTAAGTGAGCTAGACAGTCCCTAGAGGGTGGCAGACTTCTCTTTCTCTTACTGTTTTACGATCTTTAAAAAAATTTCTTTAAGCATATTTGGCTCATGGGCCCTTGAGGCTATAGTTGGCTATTCCCTTATCTACGGTTTAAGGCTACAGGGTTTAGGGTCCTTAAGGAGCTTGGGCCCCCTTTCCTTCTGGGGAAGACTCTTGAGATGTTGTATAAACTTTTTATTTGTTTGTTATTTTTCTTTTCCTTTCAATACACAGCGTCATAGTAGGTAAGATATTGGGAAAACTACCTGCAGGTAGTTAGGGAGATAACCATGGGGCCATGTACCTTGTGGTGAGTCAGTAGAAGAGTGAATTATCTGCTGTCATCCTCCTGGGAACTTGTGTGTTATCATTTTTCTCTGCCTGTATCCCTTCAGAAATCACTTCTACCAGTTTGGAGAGATTCGGACGATCACCGTGGTGCAGAGACAGCAATGTGCTTTCATCCAGTTTGCCACAAGGCAGGCTGCTGAAGTGGCTGCGGAGAAGTCCTTTAATAAGCTAATTGTCAATGGCCGTCGACTTAATGTGAAATGGGGAAGGTGAGGATAAACTATTTTAAAATAATTTTGAGATTTTCAAGAAAACTTATTACCTGGGGCTAGTGAGCTTTGGGTGAATAGGTCAAAAAGAATTTTTCATTGTCTAACATTCATTCTTATGGTTGTTCAAAGTATCCTGTTTTGGACTTTTATTCTGGTTTTGATGTAATCTTTGAGGGTTCGTGTATTTTGTGACCAGTTACAATAGACCAAGAATAATGCCAGGGCCTGAAGGTGGATTTGAGCGTATGAAAATGAATTAGACCCAGGTTCTGTCCTCTAGAGGCTGGCTGTCCAGTGGGGAAGAAATTTAGGTTTGAAAGTGATGAAATATGCTGAAAGCTCAAAGGGGAGCATGTTTGCTGGAGCCCCGGAGAAGATTGCTAGTAGCAGCAGCGACCCTTACGGAGTGCTTCCCGGGTGCTAATTAGGCAGGGTACTAAACCACATAGATTGCCTCTTCCAGTCCTTACAATAGTTCCAGCAAGCTTTGAACCCAGGTCTTTCTGGCTTCAAAACATTTGGTCATGCCAAGCTGGCATGGCTCAGTGCTTGAACATCAACCTATATGAACCAGGAAGTCATGGTTTGATTCCCGGTCAAGGCACATGCCCAGGTTGAGGTCTCAATCCCCAGTGTAGGGCATATAGGAGGCAGCCGATTAATGATTCTCGTCACTGATGTTTTCTATTTCTCCCTCTCCCTTTTTCTCTGAAATCAATAAAAATATATTTTAGAAAAAACTAAAATTAAAACCCTTTGATCTTATCCACTCTGCACTGTGGCATTTAAGGGGGGAAAAAGTGAGGCAAGGAGTGAAGAAACTTCGTTTGACTAGGAAGCATGAGAAGTAGAGGTGGAGAGAAGGGATACAGTGCTGATATGTGTGTCTGTCTCTCAGGTCCCAAGCAGCCCGAGGAAAAGAAAAAGAGAAAGACGGAACCACAGACTCTGGCATCAAGCTGGAGCCCGTTCCAGGCCTGCCAGGAGGTGAGTGCAGGCTTTCTCGTTGGCTACAGATGCTCTGATGATCCCTGAGTGTTAGACCCAGGTCCCTGACTCTGGCAACAGCTCTGTCTCCTCTCAGGAACTCCCCGATTTAAAGGCTGTGGGAACAATATTGCACAGTTGTCTTCCCTTCTAACTATTGGCTCTTTTCTCTCCAGCTCTTCCTCCTCCTCCTGCAGCAGAGGAAGAAGCCTCTGCCAACTACTTCAACCTGCCCCCCAGTGGCCCTCCAGCTGTGGTGAACATCGCCCTGCCGCCACCGCCTGGAATTGCCCCACCCCCACCTCCAGGTACCTCTACCTTCCTTCTTAGCCCCCAAAAGTTCCTTTGAAAGTCATGTCTGTTGATCTAAATTCTTTCTTTGAGTTTGCCCCATAGAATCCTCAAGTAAATCTGATTTGTTAGGATTCCTGATTTTTTTTTTTTTTCCTGGCCTGCTGAGGAGGAGAAAGTCACCAGTTTTCTAAAGATCTGAGTATATTTAAAATCAGAATGGGAGTTAATAGGTTACAGTGACATATGGCCAGTTTGTTTCCTGTTCCTGATGTAATCCTGATGCCTAAAGCACCATTGCTTAGAGTGCAGGCTGTGGACGTTCAGCAGTTCACAAAGTGTTGTTTTCTGTCTACAACAAAGATAAGGAGCTTGTGCCAGAATGTAAATGAAAGTCTTGATACAAAGAATTATAAGACAAACTAATCAGTGTGCTTGGTTGTGTAATTAGTTACACTCTGCTCACAGTCTTTACCCTGTTGGTGGCCAGTAAGTACACAGTTGAAGGACTGGCACTTTGTTAGTGCTGCTCTAGGAAATGTCAGTGACAGCCTAGCTGGTATGGCCCTGTGGTTAAGTCGACCTATGAACCAGAAGGTCACATTCCTGGTCAGGGCACATGCCTGAGTTGCGAGTTTGATCCTCAGTGTGGGGCATGCAGGAAGCAGTCGATCGGTGATTCTCATGGATTTTTCTATCGCTCTCTTCCTCTCCCTTGCTGAAATCAATAAAGTACATTTTTTAAATGTCAGTGACAGTGTGAACAGTGTAAGTCACAGGTGGCCAGTGCTCCTGTGGCAGAGTTTCCATACTCTTTGAAGAAAGTCCTGGTTTAGAACACCCTCCATTCTAATATAAATCATTGAGGTTAATGATGACAGGGTCTTCCATCATCCTGATTTCTTCTTCACCTCCCAGATGCTGATGGAATCCTGCTTGGCAGGATCGGCATGTTCAACACCTCGTAGGGGCTTAGATGACATATTATCAGATATCTTGAGCCCTGTGGAATTTTCTGTTAACCTGGACTGAAAGGAAGTAATACAGGGAGACATTCCAAAGCAAACCGAGGAAGTAATACAGGGAGACATTCCTAAGCAAGTCCTATGGACTGACATTTTCTGAAGCTCCTTGTCATTTGGTTTATGTGCAAGTGGTGTTGACCTTAGAAAGATGCAGAGGTTTAAAAGGTTGTCAGGGAACTGCAAGCCTAACACGTGTGTTCTCCCATCTGCAGGTTTTGGGCCACATATGTTCCACCCAATGGGACCACCACCTCCTTTCATGAGGGCTCCAGGACCAATCCACTATCCTTCTCAGGACCCTCAGAGAATGGGAGCTCATGCTGGGAAACACAGCAGCCCCTAGCACATTATCACCATTCTGGGGCTCTACAGAAGACAGGGCGCTTAAAAATCCCAGTAAACGAATCTTGGAATAAATATATTTTTTCTTCCTTTGTAGTTTCCATAGTAGCTGAATGTGTTCAGATGTGGGCAGTCAGAAAACAATAGCCATGCTTTGATTGATGGACCTCAAATAAGCTGCCATTGACACATCTGATTACTACTATAAGGTTACTAATAAAACTTAATGCCTGCTCCCCTTCTATGGGGAGCAAGCAAAGGGGTGAATTGGAATATGCAATGGAGTTACCATCCCAATTATATGTTTATTTTGTATTAATATTTTGGAGGGGGGGTGCATTAACCTACGGGAAGAATCTTTTGACCATTTTTATGTCTATTAGGTATTTTCCTTTTTATCATCTAAAAAGAGATTATTAGTACTAATCATTGTAGTGGCGTAAGTGTGATTTAACACTTCTGAAGTCACACCCTCAGAAAGACAAGTGGAATCCAGCAGGCAGCTCTGCCCAGGTCTCTTCTTAACCTCTCCTTCCCTCATTGATTACTAAAGGAATCTGGCTAATAGTTTTACTTCTCTACGCTACCAAGAGAGACAAATAAAAACTACTTTGCATTCCTTTTGGATGGAAACAAATGTCAAGAAGCTGTGTATCATTGAAGAAACCTGGTGTCTGGGATGAAATTATTTTAAAGAACTTCCTGTAAAACACTTTTAACAGACTGAAACGAAAAGCTTTGGAGTGTGTTTGAATGGAAGACTTGTGATCTCAGCTGGAACTTTGATCTTCAGCATTCACTTTGTGTGTCTCATTTTAATTCCCTGTTCTGGGCAGGGAATTCTGTTTGGTCTTAGATGTTTGGATACAACTGAATTGTAGATGGTAAAACAATTTGATGTTGTGTTGTGTTTTTTTGTTTTTAAAAAAATTAAAACGGGTCGGTTTTCCAGATGTCATAGGCTTATTTCTGTATTTCTGTTTTCTTTATCCTTTGGTAGATGAACTGAGGTTAATGGAAGTTAAGCTATATATAAAAGTAAATTTTTGCTTTAGACTTGATTAAAAAGGCTCACAGCCAGCAGGTGGTTGATAAATGGTAACTTTAAAAAATCATTCTCATATACAAGTACTTGAAAAAGAGATGCAAATTTATCTACAAATCCTTTTTTCCTGAAGACAAAATTCCATGTCACTTTTATGTAAAATATGTATTTATGGGATGGACATACTCTATATAACAAACACCATTTTATAGCTTCACTGAAGAAATTTTGTTTTCCTCCAGAGGGTTTAAAAAAAAGATATAAAAGAAACATTTCAAAATTTGATTTTATTTCTAGTAATATAGGGTATTTCAAGTATTTTGACACCATTTTGGATAGGATTTTGGTTTTATTTGTGGGAGGTTTTTTGTCTGAGCATATAGAAGATTTTAACAATTTTGTGAATAAGATGAATTATGTAGTGTTTTAATAATTGCCAAATTTGAGATATATATATATATATATATATATGCATAAGTAAATGTATGACTATCCAATTGTCTATTGCCTTTTTGAGAAGGAAGAGATTCTAAATTTTGTGCACTGTCTGGCAATGGATATATACATATATTTTTTAAAAAGTCTGTGTAAATTGAAGTGTAGAATAGATGCTCAATTAGTGTTTCTTAAGTCAGTCAGAATTATGAGCTATTAGGTTTTGGCAAAAATAGGTGCTTACCAAACTCCATTTCTTTCTCTTCTAGGGCACACAGCTGGGGGTACAATGGTGAGAAGTAACCTTTGCCATTCCCAGACCTGGTCTGTGACATCTCACATGACCCTATGAGCTCCCTCCTTCTCTCCCCCTCCCCACCCCAGTCTGCAGGACCATTTCTGGAAGGTGGCAGTCACACAGCGAAGGGTGTAGGTTCCCCTGTCCACTGCCTTGAGGAGAGCACTGTTACCTGAGGTTTCTGTTGTAAGCCATTGAGACCTGGAGATTTTTCTGTTAAAGCAGCTGGTGTTACTCTACTGAGATGTAGTCAAACCTGATCATAAAAAATTAAAAAAAAACAAAAACAAAAAAACCATTTTGTTTATACTAAGTAATGGTTGAAACAGACTCGAGCCAGATTACCTGATGTCAAATCCTCATTTCAGCACCTAGATGTGTGACCTTGGTCATCTCTGTCGAATCGTAATGTCTCACCTCCTAACCCTTTTCACTACCTGTATTGTGCTGCTTCCCTCATGGAGAAGGCTCAGAAGGAATAGCATCATGACAACTGAAGTGACTGCCCATGGGGCAAAGTGTGATGTGACAGATTTTTGGAAGGCAAATTATAGTCAGACATGGAACCTGAAATAAATAGAGGTGAAAGAGGAGGGGGTCTAGAGTGACCCTGTCCCCAGGTCTCTGGCTTGATCACTTGGTTAAGGTGGTGTCTTAGAGGTTTCTTGGTAAAGGTCATATTTGCCCTTCTGATGCTCTATTTGGAAACCACAAGCCCAGTCTATAATCAGTAGGATGGGAATTACGACCCCCCTCCTGTATTATTTGGAAGTCTAAAGAAGTAAGGCTTGTCCCTTTCTCCCCTTATTGAGTCATATCCCTATGATGGATATTTATTCTCAGGTATAATCCTATTCTGTGAGTTGCCTTTTCGCTCTCTGGACAGTGTCCTTTGATACACAAAAGTTTTTAATTTTGTGTGTTCATTTTTAAAAAATGTTTCATAGGTAATTGAAAATAATGAGTATTCTCTAATTTGCTGGTACAGGAGTCTACATTTTTATTTTGTTCAAATTTTCTATATCTACTCATCTGTTTGATAACTGGTCAATAACTTAAAAACTATTATATCTTCCACTTTGAATATAGGTTTATCATTATGTAAAGATCCTATCACAATTCTTTCTGTGAGAAATTATTACTTTGCTAGCAATATGGCTAGAACACATTTTTTAAAAATTTATTTTTCAAGTATAGTTGATATATATTAGTTTCAGGTGTACAACATAGTAACTAGATCACCTCGTAAGCTGATTATCATCTGGCACAATACATAGTTATTACAATATTATTGAATATATTCCTTATGCTGTACTTTATGTCCCCATGATTATTTTTATAATGGCAATTTGTAGTCTTAGTCCCTTTTACCTTTTGTCCATCCACCTAATCCTCTTCCTATTTGGTTAACATCAGTATTTTCCTCTAGCTAGGAGTTTGTTTTGTTTGTCCATTTTTTTTTTTTATAGATTCTACACATAACGTGAAATCATCTGGTATTTGTCTTTCTCTGTCTGACTTATTTCACTTAGTATAATAACTTTTAGGTCGGTCCACCCATCTTGTTGCAAATGGCACGATTTCATTCTTTTTTTTATGGCTGAATAATATTCTGTTTTATATATATGCACCACCTCTTTATTCACTTCTTTTTAAAAAAAATATATTTTATTGATTTTTCACAGAGAGGAAGAGAGAGGGATAGAGAGTTAGAAACATCGATGAAAGAGAGTCATCGATCAGCTGCCTCTTGCACACCCCCAACCGGGGATATGCCCGCAACCAAGGTACATGCCCTTGACTAGAATCGAACCCGGGACCCTTCAGTCCGCAGGCCGACGCTCTACCACTGAGCCAAACCGGATTCGGCTCTTTATTCACTTCTTTATTGATGGACACTTATTGACTATTGTAAATAATGCTGCAATGAACATAAGTGTGCATATATCTCTTTGAATTTGTGTTTTGGATTTCTTCCAAGAAGCGGAATTGCTGGATTAAAAGGTAGTTCTATTTTTAATTGAGCCTCTATACTGCTTTCCATAGTGTCTACCATTTTATAATTTCACCAACAGTGTATGAGAGTAGAACACATTTCTTTTTAAAAAAAAAAAATACATCTTTATTGATTTCAGAAAGAGGGAGAGATAAAAACATCATTGATGAGAGAGAATGATTTGTAAGCCACTTCCTGCATGCCTCCCACTGGGGATGGAATCCGCAACCCAGGCATGTGTCCTGACTGGGAATAGAACCGTGAGCTGGTACATAGGCCAATGCTCATCCACTGGGCACAACTGGCCGGCTAGAACACATTTTTTTGGGATGGTATGTGACTGGTTTATCCGTTTCCATTTCTTTATTTTATTTCTGTGTTATATTTTTAGGAGTACTGCTTATGAACAGCATGGAGCTGGAATTATTATCTGATCGGTGAATCTGTCTTGAAATTGGTGAGTCCTATCCGTCTATATCTGTTGTGATAACCGATGTGGTCGAATGTATATCACTTTGTCTTTGCTTCTTTTGCATCCTTTTGCTGTCTGTGGAATTGATTTCTCTGCTTAATGTTGATTCTTAAATTCTATGCTTGCTTTCTGGATCCTTCCCAAAACAATGTTTTTTTTATAGTTCTTGCAGTATTTATTTGTCTGAAAATTTATTTATGTGGCTCTCACTTAAAGATTTTTTTTTTTCCTTCTTCTAAGTGTTTTCTTTTGTAGGTAATCTAACTTTTTTGACTGGGTGCCTTTCACATTTCTCTGTGACTTTGGAGTTGTGTAATTTTAGTACAGTGTTTCTGAAGTATGGATTTAATTTATCCTTCGAACAGGGCGAGGACTATGTGAGTTTATGTTTTTCATTAAGTCTGAGAAACCCCCAGTCATTTGTACAATCCTTCTGGAATTCCTGGTAGTAGTGCTGGGCATTTTAATTTTACTTTCCATGTCTTTCAACTTTTCTCTCATGTTTTCCATTTTTTTACTTCTCTATGATACATTATGGGCACTTTTATTTTTTAAAATCTTTATTGTTGAAAGTATTACATATGTTCCCCTTCTCCCCATCGACCCCATCTATCCCACTTTACCCCAGGCCTACCACCCTATTGACTGTGTCCATGGGGTATGCATATTTGCATATAAGTTCAGATGTATCATTGCCAATTATGTTCTATCATACTGTGGACTCACTTTTTGTTTTGTTGGTTTCTTTTGCTGTG